AGGTAGCAAAAAGACATCGGTCCGCATGTCCCGACCTCGAGCCGCTTAATTTCCAGTTCACCCCTCCCACTCAGTCAAGAGTTAAATATCATTTTGTAACTATGATTTCAGCCAAAATTTAGCTCATCCAAAATCTAAGTATTTCGTTCTAACTTCGTCACGCTGTCATTGAGCAAACATCACCGATGCGAATGGTTACCATAAACTTCTAAAAATGTTATATAGTATTTTATATTATAAAAACTAATATATTTAACTAACCACGGGTTTTCAACCCCTTTCAGCTAACGATATTCAAAGTTGAAAACAGGTATCAACAAAACATCCCTGACACATGTCGTCTTATCGACGAACTGGTGACAAAATTTGAAATCCTAGGTCCTATTTTTGACAACGACCTGACCTACATTGTATGTTTTTCACAAGAGATTTACCAACGCTTTTTTTTTTTTTTTGCCCGGAAAATTTGTTTTTATCGCACATGCATTTTAAACACCTTTCCAGAGAGATCCATATTTTAAAGTCAGATCCAAACAATCGATTAATACCATATAAAATATTAATCTCTCTAGAAAATTACATTGCCCCTTTAATCTCGTCCCTATTTTGTCCATTCCCCAATTTGCGTTGAGCTCCTTCTAAGGATTTTTGAATCTCTCTTCAAAAACTTAACAAGCTTCTTATAAATACAGCAAGCCAGCTTCAAAACCATGACGACTCATATGCTCTCTAAAAATGGAACACACAGGGATTATGATCTGTTTCTATCTACCAGGAACGAGTGTCTTATCTTGCTCCGTTTGCGGAATAAGTTTTGAACTTCGCTCATCATTGAGGAGTTGTTTTCTTAGAGTAAGAAAAATTAAACAAAGGCAGAACCTGAAAAAATGAGAATACAAAACCGGGAGAAAAAAAACAATCTCGCCCTTTTATAGAAAAAGTGCATGACGAGCCCGAGGCAAAATGTCAGTGACGTTCTATAGTTAGTAAAAATTCCTCGTGGCAAAAACTATTTTCGCAATCGGAAGGGCTCTAAAATGACTAATTTTATCTGTACCGACCTTTCTCCTAAAGTTACAGAGTATCTTCTACCCGATTGCAATCGGGTGAGCAAAAATCAACTCACCGTGAATTATTACTTTTAAACTTCGGTAAACTAAACTGGGATGGCTTCCAACGAAGGCCTTAAAACTCTTAAGATTTGGCGTTGTTTATATTTCGGCGGCCGTGTTGAAAAAATTCGTTGTGTTGGAAGAGGATTGAATGCGCTACACGATTTCTACGGAGGTATAACGTGCGTGAAGATCAATTCTCGAAAGCCACAAGTGCCAAGTCGTTTATTGTCTCTATCTATGAACTAAACCTGATTGACTTCTTCAAGGAACCTTCAAACTTTTTCACTTGAGTGATATATAGCCGATACGTGTGTAGAGAGAAAATTGACAACGTAACATGAGATCTCTGCTACTGCAATAATTTGAGTTCGCTATTTTATCCAAGAAGAGAGAAGCGTTACTTGAGTACTGCGTCGATTTGCGAGCCATTCGTTGCACTTGCTGAACACAACAACTGGCTAATTTATTCTTGCCGAAGTCGGCTAATTCTAACCTTTTTAAGAGCGAAAATACGTGGTTTAAGTTTGGAGTAACACTATTTCCGGTTAAAATCAGTTAATACTTAAACAGAAGCTTCAAATTTTAACTTTTGCTGGAGTGCCTTATAATGTTGTTCACGGGCACAAAATGTAAATATACCTCAATAATTTAATCACAGCAATTATTTCTCGTTTAGGCGAGTTATTACATTCTTGTCGAAATCAAAACATTTCCTATCGTAACATAATTTCTTAACAGGGAATATTCTGAGTCTATATCTGTAATCTGCTGCAAGTATTGCCCTTGACCCAATTTTGCGATCGCATTTTTCCAGAATATACTGCCAAGACATTACGAATAGAACAGTGTCTTTAACTCACGAATGGTATGGAATAAGCCAATAGTTGAAAACTTGGGTGCATCATGCGTTTTTCACCTACCCTGGTGTCTTCTAGCAGATTTTCCTGTTTCGCTGTTTGTGTCGATGGCCGTTAGAGATGCTCCAAACACAACACAAGCCATAACTGCCAAACCCAATATTGTTTTCATGTTGCCAGCTCGTTCAAACCGGCGAAACCTTACTGTTCTAAGGCTTCAACCAACGATTTCCTTTCAATGTCTACATTATTGCCATCTTGAACTGTCCCAGTTCTTCATTGTAAAGGAGGCAAAGCTACTGGACTAGAATTTACACGACTTTTTGCCACAGTAACGGCATCAACTCGAATTTTCCGCATTCAAATGAGCAATGCACTGATGCAGAAATATATACTACTAATCACGTTCTCCTTAGCTGCGGCATATTCCTGGTGGAATGTGTCTCTTGTTATGTAAATTAAGGTACTTTTGTTTCGCTAGGCCGCTTACTAGAGGCGGAATATTAACCCGAGTGACGTTGATTTATGTTAATGTATCACCTCGCCTCTATGGCAACATTTGATGTCAACGAGGGTCACTTTTCAAACAGGGAGCAAATGTTGTAAGATAAATTTCATAACCACGCGGAGATCATGAGAAATTTTTCCAGTCGATTTTATTGGCTTCAGAGAAAGTTGATGGTGAGCATGGCAAAAACTTTCAGTAGTGTTCGTATCCAAACCACGCAAATTTTAAGTGAAATAATATTTGCACTGCTGATCAAGGTTTCGTAAAGACATGTAACACTAAAGCAAACAATATTAACAGTCTTGAGTGCCGAAGAAGTATAGAAAGATAGCCTGGAACGATCAAATAACCAGTTTTGAAAATCAAATTCCAGCCAAACGATTCCAACTCCCGTAACAACACCTAAAACTCAATGATGCTTTTTTCGAACAGCTTATGGTATTGTAGACCTCAGCTGTTGATAATTAACAGTAACACCAGATCTTGCTGACTTTTAAAAAAGGGAATATTATATATTACAAGAGAGGAGGTCTTCGAGTGTTATTGCAACGACGGTTATCTCGTTTTATATATATATATATATATATATATATATTTTTTTTTTTTTTTTTTTTCTCTTCTTCTTTTCCAGTTTTCGCTCATCAACGTTCTCATCTTTCCTAAAGAAATTGTAGTCCGCTTGCTAATTGTATATAGGGGCCGATATTAAAATTTTTTTATCGGTGCTTCAAACATTCAAATAGGGATAAACTAGTGCACTAAAAAATATCTCAGCGATTAACAAATTCGGGTTGGAACCGCTCTCTTTGTAAACCAAAGCTTTCATTCTGAATCGAATCGACAACACTTCACGCCTCCATACGGATCTAACTCCACTGACATAACTGCGCCATTGCGGAGTTACACGATCAGAAAAATACACATTTGATGATTCACTGCACCTTGCTATTGAACTAAAACAATCAGCATGCGACGTAGAGGGTGAGGGCGATAAAGGGTACTGCCTTGTTGACTAAGTGAAGCGCAAACATGCGCGAAGCGGGATTAAGTCCAAAATTGATAACGTGACTAGGGATTTGCATCTTATAATATATGTGACCCGTGAATTTATTCTTTCATTTCCTAAAAACTTCAATATTTCCCTGCAACCTTGTACATTGAAGAAGAGAGATTTGATGTTTCCCTTCGATGTGCGTGAAGTATGAATGTTTTTAAAACACGTGCGTTAAACCCTCTAAAGTGTTTTTCTGCCATAAAGATGTAATTAAGAAGAACCAATAGAGACGTTCAGGGATCTTTAGTCTTTTTTTTTTCACTGAAACTTTGGCGAAGTTTCCAGGTAGCCTTCGCATGAGAGTGACGTTTGTTTCTTTAAAGCATGACGCAAATAGAACGAAAGAAGTAGAATTTCGGATCAGCCCAAACTCGACTGGCGTTTTTAACAAGATCATGGTTACCAAAACAATATGTTCTTCTTGACTGAGTGGGAGGGCCGTACGGGAAATTATTTGGCCCGAGGAAGGACTGAGCGCAGCGACGTTAGTGCGTCATTACCAAGCAAGAATCAAATGTCTTCCTGTCCAGCGCGACCGAACTCTGTCACTGAGTAATTCTTATATGACCACTGAGTCTTGGAAATTTTTAAGTGAATTTGTTTACCTAAACAGGAACATAGTATAACCAAACTGATTAAACTGCAAGACTGGAATTACGACAACCTTCATCACTGATGGGCCAATACAGTTTCTTAGCGAGATAAACAGCCAGACCTTTCTAATCTTGTCTTTACGGCTTTTTTAATTTCTCTCATCCTTTAATACTTTAAGAATGTATTTATAGTCGAGTTCGACAAAATCATAGGTGTCGCTAAAGTCTGCAGAAGTTTAGAGACGGTGTGCTCAATCCTCTGATAGTTATCGTACTGACCAATAATCCATAAGGAAAATAACAAGGCAATAACGCTATTTGTACCTAAAGTGCTCTACACACTGTTTTTCTGTATTGTAATTTTCTCAGTTGAATTCTATCTCCAATTCCGTTGTCCTTGATGATATTGGTCTTGCCCCTGTACTTGATAAAGACGAAGTGAGCGGGAAATTTTGATGCAACAGAAAGTAGAGATTAGCATGCATAACAACATCACCACACACCCAAAAAAAATTACGACTGTCAAAGACTACCGTGGCATTGAGAGCGCTAAAGACAACCTGCATTCCACCATTTCACTGCAGCTGAGCGGTTTCTCTTTATTTTCGAGATATCACACTGTGTTAAACAGTCAAAACAAAACAAAATTACGTTATCTTTTAATCAAATTACACCTGATCAGTAGACAGCGCTGGTACCCGACGTGACGTCACAGCTCTTTATTGATCTGCTCTAACTGAACGAGAGTAAGACAAAAAAATGGCTCCAAGATGTTGTCATCTAATACAGACGTTTTCTCTGTTGTTCACCCTGATTTCGTTCACTCAATCGGAGGTCTTCTTAGCATTAGCTCATATGAAATATTTGGTCCAAATGGAGATAATTTTGGGAGGCCATTTGCAACAGTATCTGCACTATAATCCCTCCGCGCCGTCTGATTTAAAGCGGCTGGCAAAAGACGTTCGGACATACGTGAAAGATGTACAAGATGCCGATATGGAAGTTTTTATTGGCCATCCAGTGAACTCGTATTTACTTATATGGCGGTTTTTAAGGGAGTGGAGTAATGTTGGCAACAAATTAGATGTGACTAATCCCACTGGAAAAGGTAACTTCTTCAAATTTCTACAAACTTTGAATTGAGGAACGCCCTAACTTAAAACTATTTGGATTAAATTGGCTTATCAGTCAAAAATTAGTCCCTGACGTTCTCGTTCTTTTTTCACGCAATGACGTTATTTAAAATCTGATTTATATTGAATTCGTCCATCGGCGAGAAACCAATTAACAGCTGATTATTATTAATGCCTAGCTTCAAAATTTTACTTTTGATAAAAATAATCTTTAAAAATGCCGAAATTTAGAAATTTAAATTAATAAGGAAAAAAACTAAGGAGTACCTCTAAATATAAATGCCAAAATTTTTGCTTGTTTGTAACCATGTGAGACCATTCAAGTGATTGTTTAGGAAATGAACATTGTAATAGACACGTGCATTGTTGCAAAGCACTTGCTGGTACCTGCGTCATATAGCTAAAAGAAGACCTAATAATCGAATTTAAAGCGAAAATGACAGAATGTTAAAAAGAAAGCACTGATTCGATAATAACGATAATAACTATAATTGAAGTAAATAGAATTCATTATTCCCAGTGGTTTCACTTCTTCTGTTAGGCTTTTCATCTCTATCAGAACTGTTTTCTAGTTCTACGATAGCAATAAAGACGAGCTTAGGAATCCCTCTCAATTTTATTCTTTCGGGAATGTTACACGCACCTTGAAAGATGTACATATATGCTTCCATGGAGAACGAGTCGGACACTGCCGATGGTAAAAGTTGATACAGATTTCAGATCACAGGGTTGATACTAAGTTACAAAAATTTCTTTTAGGGGATTAGAAGTCATGTTTTGTATTATTGAATGTATTACATACGCATCTATATCCTTTATTTTACATGAAATTCACTCTCTTCAAGAACTTCGTGAAATCATCGATGAATACAACTCGTCATTTCCCGATTTAAAGGACTTGCAAGGTTGCGCCTTAGCAATTTTGCGGCTTCAAGACGTCTACCACATCAGCGCCGAGAAAATTGCAGACGGCAGATTATCTGACAAAGTTCTGAGCCCCAGGATGAGAACAGCTCATTGCCTGGAGCTAGGTCACATCAATCATCATTGGAAAAATTACGAGCAGGCGTATGGATGGTTTATGGAAGCCTGGAAACGAATGAGCTCACTAGACAAAAGCAGCGGAATTCAAAACAGGGACGTGCTTCAGTATTTGATTTGGGCGGAGTATAAGGTAAGTACAGCCTAGTTCAGTTCCGAGCCTTCCCTCTAATCTTGTTGCCTGAGAGAAGCCTCGGATAAAGTATCAGTCCATCTTCATTCTAGTCGAGGTTGTTGTGATACTGTTCAATTTTCTTTCAATGTCAGTTTTTGGAAATATATAGAATTAGTTTCCATGCATTAAATATTTAAGAGAAAATTTCCATTGTGTCGAATGTAATCTAGAATTGCTTGGGTTTTGCCTTGTTCCGCTTTGTGATCGGTTCAGAAAACTCGCGCCACTTCTCCACCAATCAGATGCAAAACAAAAACAAATCACGACTTGGTCGCCCGCGTTTTCCCGCGCTTTAGACAGTTTTGTTGATTTTACTTTGAGTTCTCATTGGCTCTTAGAGATATTTTCCTTTCTTCTGATTGGCCGTTGTTATTACCTTTGTTTTGGTTTAACTGCTCTGGATTCTCACGTCCTTAAAATGTTGTTAATCTGCTAGTTAATCTTCACATCTGTTAACATGTGTTGTGTAGTGTTGAAAAATCAAATGACAAATATCTGAGGGATAAATTCAGTGGAGATGGAAACATTTTTTTCCCTTTTTTAGACAGGTAGAATCGAAGGCGCTCTTTATCACACTAATCTCTTGCTCGAGGAAGGTATGATATCGTTATTGTGTCTCTTTCCATTTGAAGAAAGCATGCGTGAGAGAGGAATCTCCTGTGAAATCATAAAAATTAAAACAATTGTAATTGTGGTGTAAGTTAATCAGGAAATGGAAAATCCCTACGACGAAAATTCGACAATTTGACGATACTTCTCCTAATTTATACATATATAGGAATGACCAAAACTGAGAATTGCACTTAGCATAATCTAAAGTGACGCACTTGAAGAAAAAGACGCGAGTAACGAGTTTGACTGCGCCCAAGGAAAGGCGTGACGATCGATCGAGGGATGGCAAAGAGCGAGAAATCCATGGTTCCATTTCTTTCTCTAATTTGTAAAGAATTTGAACCACCTGCTCCCTATGATACGACTGTTGAGTTTATGCCGACTATGCAATTTATCGGGCCCCCTAAAACTCTCTTTAATCTGGTTCTTCGACTCCCTCTCCCAATACTTAAAAATAGACTTATTTAAGGACTACGCGTCACCTTCAATATATTATATATCTACAAATACAGATCCAAATGATAAAGAAGCGAAACAGGGCAAAGAATTCTATGAGAGTAGACTTAAAATGATGCAAGAAGGAAATTACATTGAAGAAGAGGAGGAAAATGACGCGGAAAATGGCGAGGAAAATGACGAGGAAACTGGGTCTGAAGAACCTAAGAAAGCTCCGCCAAAAGAGGAATTTATGTATCATTACGAGCGCCTGTGCAGAGGAGAGTCCAATAAGGTGTGTGTAGGATGATCGCGTTTACATCTGTAGTAGTGGTTAGTTTCGTGGAGGCATGTTGTGCCTTGACTTCTCTTTGAAAACTACCTGGTAATAGGCATTTGTTACTTACTCTCTGTAAACGTAAACGCTGATGACGTAGTTCAATATGATCCCGAAAGGGTAAATTACGGTAGCCCACGATTGTCGTGGCAAAAGAAATAACCTCGCAGCCAAAAAAATAACTTCATGAAAAAAGGAAGAAGCTCACGGGAAAAGGAAAAGACTTATGGCAAAAAAAAACCTCGCGGCAAAAGAAAAAACCTTACGGCAAAAGAGAAAAGACTCATGGCAAAAAAAATAAGCCCCTCGCCACTTCCCTTGCAAAGCGTGTTTCTAAATCAATTTAACATTTCTTCATACGAACGATTGGTTGTTACCCCGACTTGTTTTGCTTTTGATTCGCAGAGCCAGGCTGAGATGGACAAGTTAACATGCTATTATTACAACAAACATCCACTATTGGTTCTTAACCCTGCCAAAATAGAAATGGCCAATTTGAAACCAAACATATATCTCCTTCATGATATTATCAGAGATGAAGATATGGAATTTATCAAGGAAAGTGCAGCTCCAAGGGTTTGTGACGCAAATGTCAATTTAACCTTAAACAACAAGGGATGAACAATAAATTGGAGAGAGAAGAAGAGAAAACGAGTGAACAGAGAAGGGGCTCTTATTTCAATCCTTTGAATATGTCAGTTCTTCTTAAGCTATTGATAGTCTCTTCAACGGAAGTCAATTTTTCAAGTTGTCTACAGTTTAGTGTTTGTTACACAAAGTAATGGAAACAAAGTCCATATAAGACCACCATATTGTATTCTGCTCCCCTCTATACAATCAGAGGGTCCTGGTTCTAGTTACCAGTACCACATACAGGATAGTTAATTTTCCCAGAATTGAAATGGTTTAATAAGGGAAAGCAAAAAGATGAATCTCATTCTCCACCCAGGAGTTAAGGAGTATAGCTGCTAGGAACCCTGACAAAATGCTCTATACCTCTAAAACACGAAAAAAAGAATCTAGCAGAGTGCACCAGATTTTGGGCCATAAGCTTGCCAAACCTTATTATGAATTCAAATCATAACAGTTAACACCACATTTTTTTTGTCAGTAGAATAAAAATCAGAACTGACATATATATGATTGATTCACAAACTTGTTCCATTACCACTTGTAATCTTACTAGAGTCCAATCTGTTACTCCTCAAGATATAAATAATAATAGAAAAGAAACCCAGATGGTCAACATCAAAAATCTATGGTCTTAAGAAATCATTAAATATCTAAAGATACATAGATAAAAAATGTATGACACAGAAATAACCTAGGACTAGACAAGTTTAAATATTGACCTTCATATAAAGATAAGTAAAATCTGAAAAAAAGAGCAACTAATGTTTTTTTTGTTGTTAATCTGTTTGGTTTTTTGTATCTTTTGAATTAGCTTCAAAGAGCTACAGTTACCAACAGATTCACTGGAAATCTTGAATTTGCTGATTACAGGATAAGTAAGAGGTAGGGAAAAGATGATCTAAATAACAAGCACCAAAATTATTTTCCATCTTGATAGATGAAAACACATACAAATAAAAATACACATGTATAAATAAGGTTTCTGTTACAGTGCCTGGTTGGAGGATTCTGAAGGAGAAGCCATCAGAAGATTGAATAAAAAATTGAAAGCCATTACTGGTCTGTCAACAGCCAGGGAGCATAGTGAAGCATTACAGGTAGGCATTTTATTTTTTTCTACATAATTGAATAAATTAATAACATTTTTAAAACAGATACAGTTGATGAATATTATTTTTGTCTATCATACCACCCCTCTCAAATAAATCTCCTATCCCTACAAGATAATTTGGTTTGGTCAACTAAGTTAATAAAATAATATGACCACTCTGGTCAATTTTCATAATTAACTCAGTCAATAAAACCGAATTGTCCTGTGATACCCCCAACAATGCAACACTACGGTTGAAAACTTCCTCCCCCCCGAATTGAGTTCAAAAGGTGCCAAGAATCCTTCAATTCATGAATCAAACAACTTCGGCAGCCAAAACTAGATACCGCTGTTAGGACTTACCTGATTGCGCGTATTTTGATCTCATTTAACTAGGTCGTTAACTACGGTATAGCTGGTCAATACGAACCACACTTGGATCACGCACTGGTAAGTTCTACAAATCTGCTAGACAGTAAGTGACTTTGTTAATACTGTGGTCAGAATGAACACTGGGACAGGCCCAATCTGTTGGGTGCAGTGAGAAGGCATGGTTCCCAGACAATTCTCCCACCTCCTTGTCAGCGAGAGGTCTGGGGGGAGGTTATCTTTCGAGGCGGACCCAATAGCGCTAAATCAGGTCAAAGTCTAGGTATTAGGTCATAGATTACTGAGGTAATTTCAATAAACAATTTCATCGTAATCATGTTTATCATCTTTAATTATTCATTTTTTTTCTTCTTTTACCTTTTTTCCCTTTTTAACGACAGTCAAAGAATTCAGCCATCTTGAGGATGGGCAAGCGTAATAGAATTGCCACTGTCTTAATATATGTAAGTACATGAGTTTTTTGTTTGTTGAGTATCGTTAATAAACAGAGATTGAATTGGTTCAGTCCCTAGCTATTATCTGTAACCGGTCTTTACAACTTCCACCATAATCTGAATCACTCAGATGCCAAACAAACAAATAGAACATTATTTAAATTTGATACACTGAACAAATAGAGTCAGGAGTCCATTGCTAATGGCTCCTGATTCTTCATTAATTCCTGAACATTGTTCGACAGATGAGTGACGTGGAGGCAGGAGGTTCCACCGTCTTTTTGGATGCAGAAACAATTATTCCAACTAAAAAGGTAAATTACACAGTCCAAACAAGTTGGTGTCAGTGACGCCTTCACTTTCGCTCGCTCTAATCGTAATTTTGTGTTTTGCGGAGCTCTCTAAAACCAAGGCCCAAATTTCCGGCCTTACAGTTTTTACATATAGAACTGAGTCTACTTTTTAGACTTCAGTATAGAGCGCTTCGTGTGTTCTTATTGCAATAAGAGCAAATCTTAACCACGATTTTATTACTATCTTTTGGTTGGGTATTATTTTACTGATTTTGCTTTTTTTATCAGGGTACTGCAGCGTTTTGGTTCAACCTTCTCAAATCGGGTGAATCAGATGCAAAAACACGGCACGCGGGTTGTCCAGTCATCGTAGGATCCAAATGGGGTAAGGAGTTTAATCTGTTTTGTCATGAAAATTTTAACGCAAATAAATCAGATGTAAAACTAATAAATGAGAAACAGTGCTCATTTATTTCTCTTTCATCCTTTAGTTTCCAACAAGTGGATTCATGAGGACGGACAAGAATTTCGTCGACCCTGTGGCTTATCTCAGGATGAATAGATATCAGTTTCCATCTAGGGAGGGGTCATTGTTTGTGGCCTAAGGGGGAGGGGGCTGGAGGATTTTAGTATTGTCACGATAAAATTTACCTAAAACTCTGAAATATTTCTAGAATCCCTCTTCATTGGCAGTTAGCTTGGAGTCAATTTTCAGTATAGTTCCCCCTTTATACTCTGTTCGCGACAACTGATCCTCTCTCCATTCCCCTTGAAAATCATGTGTGCCCCCCCGCCTCTCACAACAATCCCCGTTCCCCTCAGGTGTAGAACTTGCATGTCAAAAGTAAAGGACAAGCTGCACAGCTGAATTTTGAATTAGTAAACCAATATTGATTTGAATAACATCAGGTCACTGATAGAAGTTTAAGAAAATATTTTGACTCCAATTTTTGTAATTCAGTTGTCTAGATAAGAAACAATTGTTCCATATAACCATAAAGGGATTTAAAAAGCAATCTATCATGACCACGGTTGGTAATCGAACCCGTCGTAGATACATATGTATGGATGTATCATTGAGCAAGTACTAGTGATAAGTGAGAAAGAGTATCAAGGACAATTTTGAGAATGAATTTCCGATAATTTCCCTTATCTAATTTTATTTATCTTTAGTGCATAGATTTGATAAATCAAAGACTCCATTTTGTTAGAGTGTGTATAATTTTTTTGTCTCTTAGTAATGAATAAAACCTACTTCTTTCTATGTGCAAAGAAAGTTGAGAGTTACTTTGATAACTTTGTAAATGGTGAACCTGAAAAGGACTGGTGTCGAATACATTGACTGAACTTTCGACAACCTGGAGAAAAAAAGAAAAGGGACAAATAAACAGTTACTTTTCAATCGAATATTGAAAACCTGGTAAACTAAAATCTGCTTGGTGAATTTTGCCGGGATGTCGATATTTCACCTTCCCGTCCACCTCTCCTCAGTCTTTCGTGTACCTTACACGCGTTGTACACTTAGAAAGATAATTCATGGGGTCAGGAGCCCATTACCTACATTACATTACATTACGCTCCAAGTAATGGTTCCTGATGGGGTGTGTGAACACGCGGGTCTATGTTTGAGAAGCGAGGTGTGATATTTTATAACAGTATTACTAGTCAGCGGATGTATAATAAACGTAAAGAGCCAGGTTACCAAGTTTATCTGTTACGGCTTCTTTCTTTCTTGATAATTTGTTGTTTTTTTAGCAACAAAATAGCCGATAAACAACTCACCTTTACAAGTTTCAAGCACACCATGAATTGACAGATTTCCAGGGGTGCAAGTTGTTGTGCTTGGCCCAAAAATACGGTTTCAAAGTTGTTATGTGCTGTTGTAGAAGGTACATTCTACCTGCAGCTTCGTCGTGCCCTCAGAGATGGGTAATCAGCTCTCCGGAATTGCGCCTTCGCAGATCCTTAGTGTTGAACATTATTTCAGCGATCTACCCGACTTTGAATTTGACGGAAGGTACTGCAAGATTTTTTATTTGATAATCCGTTTTGAATGAGATCTCAAACCTTAACGCCAGTCACTGGCGATGTACCTTTACGTAAGCTTAAGATCAAGGCCGTGATTGCCTCTCCGACTTTCTCTTTGATTTGAAAAGCTCCCAATGGTGACTGATTAATTCAAATAGGGCTATTTTTTGCGAAATAATTGATTTTCTTCACCCTATTTTAGCATTAATTTTTCAAAATGCTGCGTGCGTGCAAAGGCTAGACACAAAAATATGCCCTCCCGAGGATCTTGGCCTAAGTTGTCGGTCAGGAAGCCATGGATAGAATGAAAACAACTTCTCGTTGGGCAGTTCCTTTTAATTTTTTTAATTCAGTGTCATGATGTGAGAAGATCATTTAATTCTTATTTTATTTGCTTGCTCATTTTCTGTTACAGTTTGGGAAGCACAAGGTTTTTCAAGGTTGCTCGAGCGAAGCACCGGTGAGTTACAGTACATTGTACTCTTTTAATGTGCAATCATGTACAGTGGAGCTCATAACCTAGTCACAAACTACGGTAAATAATAAATGCGGCTTCACATGTGCCTATAACATGAAATTCATCTGGGTTTATTGCTTTCCAATGTAAATAATAATTTTCTTTGTAAATTAAGATGTACTCTTCTTGTTTATCAAAAGGTTGCGGTGGGTGTCATTTGTTTCATTCCTATTAATAATGTTTCTTTTCGTATACATAAGATTTTCGGGGTCTGAAAATCTTGAAAGATGCATTCAAATACACTTTAGACAATACTCTTCATCCTGTTTATTAATAATCATGCTTGCAGTTCTCTTTAGGTAGGAAAACAGACATTACAAGAGAACTTGACACTTGTTTGTTTACATTTAGCAAAATAATTGGAATTCAAATGATTTTTGACATATTTGAATCTTCACAGACAATCTGGTTTGTGAGTTAGTGTTGATGATTTCATTGTATTTCAGGAAAAATTGCATGATTTTACATCTTTTTCAAAATATTTTCTTTGACAGTTTCAGATCTTTTCTTCTTTTTAACTTCACTTTTTCTTCTACTATAAAGCAGAAGCATTAATACAGGTCTAGTAATTATCCATATATTATTCAACAAGCTACTTGTGCATACTTCTTGTTCAAATTATGCAGTTATTAGCTGTTAAATTATGTATCAAGCAAATGGTATTTCTTTGCAGTGTAACAGTCCTGACAGTTTCTGTTTTGTAATTGCTAAATTATGTAAAGAAAAGAAGGATTTCTTTAAGTTGATTTGTGATAGTTCAAGGTGCATGTTTTATAACAAAATGTGAAAAGGTGCACCACCAAAGGAAAGAAGTGCTTTTCTTTTCAGATTTCCAAATTTATCATTTTATCAAGGTCAAGTTTTTTATTAAGTGGTTTTAAGTGTTGATTCCAATCAAATTGAAATAGCACAAGTTGATTATGATATAGGTGATTTCCCAGGAAATATTATTTTTTTTCTTTGTTGCATTGATGGGCTATTATTTCATTGTTAAGTATTGTTTGAGATACAGACATTAGACGTTTAGTCCTTGAATTTTTGATGAAGAAAGCAGACATTATTCACTTTTATTGGACTTTCAGGGTTCTAAGCTAAACTTGTTTCAAATTTGGCAACCTAAAATCTCAATGAAAAGTTAGTCACCAGAAAGTGAAAGGCTGGCTGGCAATCCTTTTTGTAGGTTAAGGTAGCATCTCCATGCTTAATGCTTGAAAAACTCAAGGGGATAGTGGCAAATGTTTTTCAATAAGAAATCAAAGGAGCCTTGATATTTAATGGAAGTAGTTATCTCAGTTTAACTCAAGACTAGTAATAAGTATTGATAAAAACGAATGTACATTTCAGCAAGGTATAATAACAGCTGCCAAAAAAAGGTCACTTACATGTAATTTGCAACATGTCTCAAATTCAGTTGCCTAATAACCCCTTACACCCTAATATCAGTATACATTTTCTCCTTAATGTTCTCTATACATTTCCTGTGTTAATGACAAAGAGAATTTGTTTAACATTCAAAAGCTTCTTTAGTTGGTGATCATTTCCTTTAATCTCATAAGCTCAATGTTTGTTTTAGGGGGGATACTGATAGGAGAAAATAGTTACTAATCACTCCTAGGGGTTGAAGGTTAATATTTTGTCCTCTCCTTTGTGATTAACTGTTGTGGCTTGGAGCACTGGAAGTTTTGAAATACTTTCAGGGTATTTTCTGCCTTTTTATTTCTCATGATCTGTTCTCAATGTCCCTTTTGTTCAATCAAATTTTTTTTTTTGAGGCTTAACTGTGCAGAGTCAATTTCTTTTCTGATGAATATGAAAAACTCTCTCTTTGAATAAGAGGCAAAGGTGAAGAGTTATTTGTAGCTCAGTACATTTGTGTATTCATTCAAACCTTCCTCAACTCTTCTGCTCTCAGATGGGATTATAATGCAACTTCTTGTGATTCCTTGTAGAGAACAGAGAGGTGTATCAGCCAATGGGTGTTATTTTTTATAAAACACCAAATTCTCCTGTCTACTTTACAAGGAAATACATGTATATGCCAGCCAGGAAGGAGAATTATTAATTTGATCTTGGGAGTTAGTGGGTTTGAAGCAGTCACCCTCAGAAAGTGACTGAAGAGCTGCCTACAAGAGCTTGATTGTTCACTTGTGGTTGAAGAAATGGAGTGTGTAATTTAGCAAACATGAACTAGAGGGCAAAATGTATCCCACAATTTATATCTTAGTGTGAACAAAATTATATTTATAGTTGAAATTTACCATTAACAAGTAGATACCTTAAAGGCAGCCATTTTTCCCATCACTAACAATCATTTTATCAGTTATTTTGAATAACTTTTATTAGTTCAATAAGGGACCTCTTTGGTAAAAACAGCAATTGCTAGAAATTTAGAGTGGACAATGTGTCCCCTAAGTGGAGCTAACCAGTTAACAGAGGTCAAATATGGGATCTGGACGTAACTCAAGGTCATTTGAAAAAGTGACTGTATAAGAATGGGTGATCACCTAATAACAGCCAGTTTGGTAGAGGTTTGACTGCATTGTATCTTTCATTTTTTTTTTTTTTTTGTTAACTAAGAGTTTTATGTACTTTACTTCTTTTAGGGAAGGACTATGTGTTGTGAAGGTATTTGCAATCCAAGATCCCTCTCTTCCTTTGAAGACATACCAAGATCAGCTGACAGATATCAAGAACAGACTGGCTACAGCACCAAATGTTCTGCCATTTCACCATTCCATTCTAACAGACAAAGCTAGTTTGCTTATGAGGCAGTTTATCAAGGACAACTTGTATGATAGAATAAGGCAAGTGTTTCTCAATTTTTGATTGTGAGATCCTGGATGAGCATTAACTTTGTGCATCTTTATTGTATCAATATTATGAATTAAAGTATTACAGTGTGGTAGCAAAGGAAAAAGTCTCAATCACTCCTTATCACTTCATGGTAATGAAACTTGGACAAGCTCTAACTGGATGGGGCTTTTTGTTTTAACTGAAAGGCGACATTACTCCTCTATAATTATGTGAATATGAAAGAAAATCTACCACTTTTTGCATGTTATGCTTTATTTATAATAAAAATGTTAGACATTTGACATGGTCAGGTGTTTTAGTTGGGTACAAGATTGTAGTAACCTTGTTGTATGAAGTACAGATGATGTAGAAATCACTTGCTTTGTGTGTTTAGTTACATCTTTACAGTGTAATTATGGACACTGTAGCTAAGTATGAAAAGAAACTAATCATGATTAACCCAAGTACAGTATATGTATTTGTTATTTGGAATTATAACATTTCAACTCTTAAGCTCCCACTTGGGCTTCAGAACCTCCATCTTGTCATTAGTGCTGGAAATGCTGATTAACATCAGACCTTACACTGTTCAAAGTATTAAAAGATGATTATTGAAAATTGTGAAAATTATTCATTCATAGCACTCGACCTTTCCTTGATGTTATTGAGAAGAAATGGATTGTGTTCCAGTTGTTATGTGCTCTGGATCAGTGTCATTCTGTGAAGGTTTGTGGCCCATTAGTCCTTACTAACTTGTTCCTTACATGTACACTCAAAACTATAGTCACAGTTATGCAATCCATTTTTTTTTTGTGGTTAAAAATTGACCATGGTGCTTGGTCAGTTATAATGTTTAGCTTATACTAGGCAACAATTTTCTATAATGTTCTAAACTATATGGGTTCCAAAACAAGGGAAGGCAACTCATATTCTCTCTACTCCCTTGTATTACTGAGTTCAAAACAATTTGGATTTTGAAGACTTATTTTGGGAGCAATTGTCTCTTTTAGGACTAAGACTTTCCAAAATTTTTTTTGCATCTCTCAAGCAAATTTTTCACAGTGACTTCTCTCAAGTTGCTTTTCCCTTGGTTGTGGCCTAGGTTGTTTTAACCTTAATTTTGAAAATTACTGATTAAAATTAATGTCCATTTCTTGTCTCTGACAGCAGTACTTATAACAGAACATCAACTTTGTGTTTCAGGTCTGCCATGGTGACATCAAAACTGAGAATGTAATGGTGACTGGATGGAACTGGGTCCTGTTAACTGACATTGCAAGTTTTAAGCCTGCATTTCTCCCTGAAGATAATCCAGCAGATTTCAACTTTTTCTTTGACACGTCTCGTCGCCGCAGTTGCTACATTGCACCTGAGAGATTTCTGGATTCAAGGCAAGCAGATCAGTTATTGACCAGAGGCTCTGTGACAGCAGGAAATGGTGATATTCAATCCAATAATGGTCCCAGTCTGCCAGACATGGATTTTGTTCGACATCAGCAAGGAACACTGACACCTCAGATGGACATATTTTCTGCTGGGTAAGGAAAGAATACAAGACCCAATTTATATCAATAGAGTGAAAATATACTGGTCAACCCATGCATTTAATTCCTCCAAATTGATCACCCCTGTATCAAAATTAAGCTCATTAGGATAAAGACGATGATTCCTCAACCAAGGAAGCTCTCAACCGGGAATGTAGCTAGGGAACAGTATGAAAGACATGCTTACTGATATTGGGGTATAAAGAGGTTGAGAAGGAATATGACGTGGCTTAAACATTAAGATACTGTTAGAAATTCCTTATTTCTTTCAAATGGAATTAATTTCCCACAGGCTCATGCAAAGCAGAGGGAGGGAGGGGACTCTACTCTAAAATCAAGCATTATGGGGAGTTTTCAGCAAATTGGATCCTAAAAAACATGGGAGGTGTTGTTTTGCTGGGAGAGTAGATTTGAAATAAGTCCATTTTTGTCCAAATGGTGAGATATACTAGAAAAAGTGATCTTCAAGGCACTGAACTATTAAATGCATAAAAGATTCAAAATAAGGTGGCAGAGGATTCAGAACAGGAAATTATTTAAAAAATTAGTGGTGATTCACCAAAGGAAATTAAAAAACAATATAATGCAGGTAGGGTACTTACAATTTCTATATCATGATATGATTGGGAAGATCACACTTCAAATGCAGTTCTTGCAATAAAACTTCAAGTTAGTCACTTGGTTAATTTGGTGGTAAGACTCACTATCTCTCTTTCTCTCTGTTTCACAGGTGTGTGATAGCTGAACTTTTCAATGAGGGTAACAGGTTATTTGACCTGTCAGAACTTCTCTCCTATCGTAATGGAGTCTATGATCCTACAGCAACATTATCACTCATAGAAGATGCTAATATCAGGGTAGGTGATGTTCCATATAGTTATCTTTTGAATTTCTATCTCAGCATATTTTGAAAGATGTTTTATTTCCCCTGCAGCATCCTGTGGGGAACTAGGTTAAGTAGAACATGTTAAACTATCACTAAATTTTTATGTAATAGTTAGCCATTTAAATGCAAGATTGGCTATTTTGTTGTGTCATTTCCTTTGGCATAGACACTTGACTCTCAGGTGCCCAGCTCCACCAGAGGTGTGAAAAAATGTTGGGGGTAATTTTTTCAGGAGACCAGCATTCAGGGGTGACACAGATACCTACATGTGCATTTATCAAATACCATGCTGGATTGAAGGTTGAGAGGTCTAAATTTGTGACCTGGCCAGTTTTTTGTGTTGTGTTCTTAGGAAAGACATGGTACTCTCACAATGGGTGTTTCTCTTCCCTCTCAAAGTATAAATGAATATCAGCTAATTATCAGGAAAACCTGAAAAAATGTTTTGGGGGGGGGGGGGGGGGGGCACTGTTAATGTGCAATGGACCATTATAGCTTCATGCTAAGGAAACCAAAGTAACCTGGGGATACACAGGCCTGTTTGTTAGATTATACATGGATGTCTTAGGGAGAACTTACATGTTAATCACCTCTGGGAGTTGGAGCATACCAATCTTGTTGGATATCAGTACATAACTCCTAGTTGCATCACACCACAGAAACAGGAATCAGTCTGGGGCTTCTACATGTACATATTTGTGAGTCACTCATAATGAACTCCTGCTGATAAAAACTGTAGAGAGTAAGTATATAATTTTCTACCTGAACATTTCCTTCATATATGGTCTGTTACAGGAATTAGTGGGACAAATGATTAGTAAGGATGAAAAGAGTAGATTGTCTGCTGCAGAGTTCATGACAAAATACAGAGGTAAGTAAAACACAAAATTTGGGAGGTTAAAAAAGATGTCTAGCACTTAGATCATTTCTTAACCTCTGATGACATTCACTTTCATGCAATCAAAAAATAAAATGAATCTCATTTATATACTGACTAGTCATGAAAGTGCACAGTTATGGAACAAGAGATGAAAAAAGGAGTCTAGGTCTGAGTATAATTCTGAACTTGACAAATGTAATGATGTTGCCTCATCTTTATGGAGCTCAGTATGTTCATGGTGTATCATCTTTTGTAGCCAACATTAGTTTCATGACATCTGATACATACATTAGACTGTATAAAATTGTAAAAATAAAATAAAATGTGTTGGTTTCTAAATGAAGGATGTGATTTAGTTGGAAAGTTATTACACTGTATACGATAACTATTATCAATTTTGCACCACTCCACTTGGTGCCACCTAGATTTCAGGTTTAAAGGATTTACTCTTTTAGAGATTCACATAAGCCATATGTAAATTAACAGAACATATAAGCACCAACAATCTTTCTTAACCAAGACAACCTTCCTTTTGTTCATTTTCTTCACAACTTTCAGCTGGTTTTTGTGATTCAAAATTGTGTCTTTTTTCATGGACTTTTTATCTCTCATCAGGGGTAATATTTCCTGAGCAGTTTTACACATTTCTCAAAAACTACATGAGCAAATTTTCCATGTTGCCAGTACTTACAGCGGATGAGAAGATTGGCAGGTACGAGTATTTTTTTTTTTTTGCTTTAAGTCTACCTGTAGCTCTTGCCTCAGTTATACACACCCTCGTCCATATTTACTTGAGGCAAATAGACCTTTGTTATCTGTCTTTTTTTTGTAGAAATTCTTATAAGTGACCCTTAAGTTTTGTTTTTTAGAATAAAACGTGATATTGGGCAGATCCTTCAAGAACTGCTGGTAAAGTCTGGTGGAGATGAAGAAGATGTGTCGGTTAAAGAAGGTACAAGTGTATGTTTGTCTTGATATTTGTTTTGTTTTAATTTGTTTTGTTTTTGTTATATCCTTTTTCTTCGTTTCGTTTCGTTTGTCCACCCTTCCTTCTTTGACTTGAATTTCCCTAAATCCCCATTGTAAGTTGTAACTTTTACCATGAGAACAATGTCTTAACAGTGTTTTTTCTGTTTTTAGGCTGTCTTGTTATCATCGTCTCTCTCCTAACTTCCTGCATCAGAAGCTGTAAGGTAAATGATGCAAAATTTTATAGTTACACTGTAATCTTCGGGTAAGCTCCCTTCAGTGTTTGCCAATAGCGAGACAATAAGTAACCTGCCTAAAGGTCTTTCAGTGAACGGAAAATTACCCCGTCAGCTATGTGATTACTTTCGATATTCAAATGAAAACTGCTTAAAGCCAAAGATTAACAACGTGTAATTTTAATCGTTGCTCTGTGTAAGCTGTAAGTATGTTAAATTCGCATGTACATGATGTATGCAAACAAAACTTGTACATATTGAATGGCTTTCCCCACAGTATTGTGTGTCCAAACTGACAGTTCTGGAGCTTCTCCTGAAAATTGCCCATCATGTCAGCGACGATATAATTCTTGAGCGACTTCTTCCTTACATTCTGTTCCTTGTCAACGACCCTCTACCACAAGTCAGGGCGCAAGCCCTGAAGATCTTAACCCAGTGTCTACAACTTGTTCGCAGTATGCCTCGCAGCGACGCAAATATTTTCCCAGAGTACATCCTGCCAAGCCTGTCTTGGCTGACTCAAGACCAAGAAGTTATAGTAAGAATAGCCTATGCTGAGAATATTGCCTCCCTGGCCGAGACGGCTTTGAAGTTTTTGGAAATGGCCCAGTTAGATTTTGCCAATCAGGAAAATAATGAAGATAGTGACGCTCCCATACAGTATCAGGTGAATTTTCATGAATCACTGCTTTTTTTAGTGCCCAGAATTGATGTTATACAATGTAGTTTGGCGGAAAAGTAATGAAAACGAATTTCGAGGAATTTAGAGCGCTTTTTTGTTATTTTTATCGTAGTTTCAATGAAAATTTCGCCAGGAATTCAGAAGGCATTCAACTGTGTTCGTTGCGAGTTAAACGAAATTTTGAGGGTAATTTGTAGCTGAGATGGAGCGGAAATTCCAGGTATTGAAATTCACAAGCAACGCAATTAAACGTCGTGGTATAGGAAAAAAATTCAATAAGGTGAAGTCTTCTGAAATTTTGAGTGAAAATTGAGGAACAAAATTTCGCTTCTCTTCGCAGTAGTGGAAAAAAATGTTTACTCATGAAGTAAATGACCTCACACAAATCAAACATCTCCCCGATTAAGCGGGAGGTGTTATATTAATATGTACAGTGTATGTTGAGTTAGTTGTAATTTTTGTCAATTAGCTCAATATTCTGTTAATCCGTTTCTTCTTTTTTTTTCTTTAGGGTAGCTACGACACTGAACTGCAAGCACTGCACGAGCTCATCCAAAGAAAAGTTGTTACTCTGCTGAGTGATCCTGAAAACATTGTTAAACAAACGCTGTTGGAAAATGGCATCACACAACTGTGTGTTTTCTTTGGTCGACAGAAGGCAAATGACGTTCTGTTGTCGCACATGATCACTTTCCTTAATGACAAGCAGGATTGGCAGTTGAGAGGAGCTTTCTTTGATAGTATTGTTGGTGTTGCTGCCTATGTTGGATGGCAGAGTCTTGTGATGCTCAGACCATTGCTAGAGCAGGTTCGCAATTGATGTCTTTGTAAGTTTATTTTTGGTTAAATGAAAACAAACAACTGGGGCTATGAATAAGGACTGTTACCTGTAACAGCTGTTACGGCTGAGTCACGCGATGTACCGGGCGAAGATGTCGATTGCTGACACGTTACACTTGGCCACGTTTTGCTCAGCTACGGGTGATATCTCCAACGTAGTGATTGCTTCAAAACTTATCGCCAGTCCTGACAACCCATTCTATTTATTTATTTGTTTATGTTCCGCTTACCATTTAGAATGATGCTATTACTTAATACGTAATTTCTCTATTTTAGTTGGTTTTGTTCTGTTTTTTTTTCTGCAGGGCTTGAGTGATACTGAAGAATTTGTGGTGTGTAAAGCTTTGAATGCGCTGACTTGTCTGGCCGAACTAGGATTGCTTCAAAAACCGACGTTGCAAGAACTTGTATTAGAGATTGTTCCCTTTCTTTGCCATCCCGTGAGTGCAAATAACAATGTTGCTTAATATACTCAGGAAATTTTCAAATTAGTGTCGAAAGTCATCCGGGACCACATGAGTTTAAGTTTGCATGGACTTCACTCTGTAATTGGTCCAGAAATCTCGCGCCACCCTCTCTTTGCGTTCAATCAGATGCGTTGAAATCAAAACCAACTGCGATTTGGTCTCTCGCGCTTTTTCGTGCTTGACTGAGATCGGTCACGTGTTTTTTCTCCTGGTTCTCATTCGCTGCACGTGATATTTTGTTATGATTTGATTGGCCGTCACGATTACTTTCGTTTTGGATTCACAACACTCATTCGAAATGTGCTCTTTCCAGAATTAGAGATATAAGACATTCAGGTGATGTTCTCATTTTCCTCAACAGAACATGTGGGTTCGTTACGGAGCAGTCGGATTTGTGACTGCAGTGGCTCGTACTCTCAACATAGCTGATGTTCACTGCAATCTGTTGCCTCTCCTCCAGCCATTTCTCAAACAACCTGTTGTCCAAGTCGATCAAGAGGTGCAGTAATTTTGAAATTGTTAGTTTACTGATTTTCGCGAAATCACGTCTTAATACTTCATTTGTACTTGTTCTGATGAATTTGGGAAGGCTTTCACTTTATCAATCACCCCTTCATCGCGCATTAAGGTCACGAGAATAAAGGAAATGATCACCAACTAACGAAGATCTTGATAGTTAAACTCCAATTGTCAACAGCTTAGCAAATGAATGGAAAACAGTATGAAGAATATGCATACTGTTATTAGGTTGTAAAGGGATGACACAAGATCTCTGTACCAGTTTATGTAAGTCAAACCGTATTGACATGAACAATAATACATGCATGACCAATAGTAAAACGTTCTGTTGGTCTTTAGGTGATCTTGGTGAGCTTGTTAAAGGAACCCATTAACAGAGGTGTATATGATTTTATTATCCGATCACCCCACGTCGTCAGTCTCTTTGACAGGTACGAATGTGTGTCGTGTTTGGTGGTATGTATGTGACTAATATAGAATTATTCAACTTCAGTTACTTAGTATTGTTATGGGAGAGAAATTTAACAGAAGTGTGGTTGTTACTTTGAACAAGGGTCGTTCGCATCACGAGAATCTGTCAAGTGACCACTTTTGAATGGAAGTCATGGAAGACAAACGCGTGTTATTTCACTGTGATAACGTTCTTGGGTAGGACCCGATTCTGTAGGTTGTCTGTTGATGGACTGCTCTCTATTATAAACCGTGCCATGCCTTGCTTCTGATTCATTTATTGTAAACTTTTTTCCCCCTCAGTTTACAGGACAGACAGTTAGTTCGTAATCTGTGCCGTGCGGGTCAGAGACCAAATTACCCAGAAACAGATGAGGCTCTGGTACCCATCTTCCGCAAACTGCACTCACAGGGAATCACAGAGGAGGACGAGGACAAATTACTTTTCCTCAAGGAAGTGATTCTCAAGTTACACAGAGCTAAAACTAGGTAATTCCGTCCTTCACTTTTTACGGGTACCATGATTAGACGGTTGATGTGTGTTAAACTTCATGGTGAATTTTCGTGTATTGAAATTTATTGTATTGCGTTGGACCGTTAAAATTCTCCTTTTTCACATCGAGTTAATAAAAGCCAGTTACCGGCGGTCTACGGCCGTCCATTAGACCTCTTACCACCGTATGTTTAGCCTACAAGCAGGCTTTCGTCTTAGGGTCTTCGCCTTGCGGCTCCTTTTCCGGGTTCAGCCGCCTATCACGTCATCACCAGCCGCTTATGGGAAAAGTTTTTGAAACCCCGTATCTGAACTTCCAGTTTTGATTTCCGATAAAAGTTCGTATTCTCGGACCATTTCCTTTGCTCTTCACACGACTGCATTTGATGATGAATCAATTTCTCCTAAAGATCTTCAGGGCCCAGTTGTTCAAAGAGCGTATAACGCTATCCAGCGGTTAAGGGTGAACAAAAGATACTGCGCTATCCACCGGATAGGGATTTATCCAGTGAGTGGCGTTATCCATCCCTCAAACAACCGGAGTCTGGCATTTTGATCAAATATGAACGTAGTGTATGTCCAAGGTGACCACGAATTCTCTGTAGCTTAGCTGGTACAGGATCCGAACATGGAATTAGAAGCTCCGCGACTCGAATTCTCACGAAGAAATTATATTTTCCTCTGTCCTACGTGCGTGAGAAATGCTTATCTTTCCTCATTTTGATAGAGCAATTTCTCACTTGAGTGTCAAAACACTCTAACCTAAGTAGTCATCATCATTAACCAATGAGAACTCAAACTGCAAACTGCTTGAAGCGCGAGTGAACTGGTCGCGATTGGTCATACTTTTCCATCTGGTCGGCTGAGGGGGTGGTGAGAGTTTTCTTGACCAATCACAGAGCGTAGCAAAACCATCTTGGATTATTTTTTTGACATTCTATTTAAAATTCCATAAACTATTTCCTTTAGTGCCATGGAACAGCCAGATAGCAATGAAGAAGTGATGAGGGGAGACATAAACCTCAAGACCCTTAAAGGGGGAAAGACTGTCACAAGACGGAACGCGGAACTTGTGAAATCCACCGAGGGGAAAAACGACATGAACTCAGCAAACAAGAAAGGAAGTGCTAAGAACAAAAAGAATTCAAATGCTGAACAGCCCTCGATGGTGAGGTTGAGTTATTTACACATTCCTCTGTGATTCTTTAGGGTGTTAAATTGTGGCCAAGGTATAAACCTACAATGCTCTCCAGCTGGAAAGATTTGTGGTAAAGAGCACTCGGGCAGTGGCTTGCTCGAGGTCACTTAGTACATTACCCGTGCATACGTACCCACTGAAGAGCGGTTGGGGTACGTGTGGTATCCAAGGGCTTCCATTATGTGCCGCTAGAATACCATCCTTATAGGAACCTGTCAACAATGTGTGGATCAGTAGGAGGGAAAGGAGAGTGGGTGGAGTAGGGGAACATTTGTAAACAGCCACGAAGAACTAGTGAAAAACAACCGCAACGAAACTTCTTGAGAACCCAAAGACCTGTTGAAAATTAAAATTTAATTTATCTAAATTCAAATTTGAGTATAAGGGGAGGCTTTCTTCTTTTTTTGTTTATTCATAATATTGTTAAGAGAGTAAAGCTACGTTGCTTGATTGTTAATTGCGTTTCTTGCTTTCAAACATATGGCATCAACACATATCCCTAGCCGATTATCATCGTTAATGTCGTCAACTCCCAAGATCTGATTCAGTTTATTCTCCCCTTTAGCTGTTACACATTTTCTTGTAAATGAGTTTCGAGAATTTGGTAATAGATCAAGATAACAACTTCTACCTGATGAGTTTAAGTTCGAGTATTCTCATTTCCTGTGTGCTTGATAATGTATGGATATTATGGGAAGGAGTTACATCTTAATCACATCTGGGATTCAAAGAGTTTATCCTAACTTTCTATGGAGAAGTTAAGTATTAATCATTGTTGATAGAACCCTGAATGGCACCACATGTTTGGAGGAGCAGAAAGCGCTGCAGTGGCGTTGGTCATGGCGAGGAGAGAGTCCATGCCAATCAATACAAATCGACCAAAGTCTCCATTAGGAAAAACCATCTCCCTTCCGCCGGCTGGGGTGAGTTGGAAAGAGTTTGGAGTAATTTGCAATTTATTGTCGATAGCGAATCGGGGTTGTAATGGTTTTTCTTCTTCGTGATTTGTTTAGAAAATACCCGCCACTGTCTCAACCAGGTAGATGGAGTACTACAACCAACCGCGACTTGGTCATTGGCGGTTTTCCCGCGCGCCTGCTTGATTTTATTTTCGTGATTATTCACTCTTTTTATATTTTCCATTACTGTAATAGGCTATTACTTACCTTTTTTTACGACATTCAGTCAAAATGTGCTCTAATTAATCATAGCTAGGACATATGAAGTGGCAAATTTACGCGAGAAGCCTATGTTACAAATCGCCTGGTGGAGGGAACTGCATCCAAAAAAAGGAGTCGTAGCGACTTGTTTTAAAGCAGGAATCGGCGCTTAAATTGAAGTGGAATCAGTTTGAATTTGTGCAGCTTGTCTCGGGGACCAATTCTGTCGCAGCCAGATCACGGAAGACTGCGATCATTGTCTACGTGACCTACTTCCCATGCAGAGGGAACGTTTTAAGCGAACTTTTATTAACAGATGTCTTTTTAGTTTTATTTAGATTACAACTAGTTTTCTCTTTAGTGATGAATTTTTTTTAACCTTGCACGTTTGTTTGCATGTATATGTTGTTGTGTAATTAATAAAGACTACATTCATTCATTCATTCATAAAAGAAAAACAATTTCTTTGTCATACTTGTCCCCATCATCTGTTGTAAGGACTTCCTTCCGACTAGTTGTTCCGTCCTGAAAGAAACGTTGAAAATCTCTACTTCCAGATTGACTGCGTTTAACACTGACACGTTTAATATTATTTCAGGACAGCAACAAAGATCAAGTGACTCTCAGCCCGCCTGTTAGCCGACCCGCCACGATACCGCGCCCGGAGTCTGGTTCCCAGTTAAAGAAACAATCTTTGCCGGTCTCGCAAGAATTTTTGACCCAGAATCCATTGAAAGCGCGGTATGCACTGTGTAAGCTGGATCTACGGAAACTGGTACACCACAAAAGAGAGCAAAATGCTGCGGGTAAGTTTTAAGAATGATAGTTACTTCGCACAGTACTGAAATGAGCTGCGGCTGCATTTTCATAAAAGATTAGAATATTACTACTCCTTTGCTCTTTATGCCTATATTAGCACCGGCAAAGCGCGTGCCTTCACTTGGATCTTGTGTTTTGGACTACTTATGTTCATCTTTTTCAATGGAATTATAAATGGCAACGCAAGTCTTAAATTGACATCACAGCCTTTGATGATAATACAAAGCTGTCCTGTAGAAGATACGCTCAAAGGTGTTCATGACTTGGTGGAGAGTGGAAAAAATACAGGGTTGCATTGCTTTACTTTACTATGCTTTTGATTGATTCAGAAAACGCCTCTCACCCTCTCAACCAATCGGGTGTAAAAATAACACCAACTGTCACTTTGTCATTCACTTTTTCCCGCGCTTTAGGCAGTTTTACTTTGAGTTCCCATTGGCTCCATGAGATACCTTCGTTTTTATTTCTCTGCTTGGCCATGGTGATCACTTTCATCGTAAGTTTCCAACATTATATGGAAAAGCGCTCTGGTGTATGTACTTGAGTATTGGGATTTTTTATTTGATTACAGACATGAAGGAGAAAGCTCTTCTTGGAAGCGTGCTAGCTGAAGGTAGTAAACCGGTTCAGTCTCGGTAAGTTGACGTAATACAGTCCTATGGTATGAGTAGGTTTTGGTGTATAAAACAGAGGGTGTACAGGTATTCATGGGTCTGTGTTGTGTCAACAGATGGGTTCCTAAAGGACTGTTAGTGGCTCATCTACACGAGCATAAGGCAGCCATTAACAGGTAAAAGCCGACATACATAGTTAATAGAGATGACTAGCAAGAGAAACTTGAATTAATCAATGATAAAAAACAACCTCCGTGATGCAATTTAGGTTGGATGCTTCCCTGATCGCTCACAATCTTTTTTTTTTCTATGTTCACATGTCATTGTGTCAGAATAAATGAATGTGAAGTTCCTTTTTAGACAGTCAGTCCTGAGAAAATAACTGGAGTGGTATTGAACGTTGTGCGGGCTCAGTCAGGTTCAAAAAGTAGTTACAATAACCATAACAAAGAAATCTGTTGGGTTTCCCAATCAGTCAACTTTTAAAAAAAAATTGTTCTTTTTAATCATCAAAAGACGTTAATGTGGCGTTGTAAACATGTCCTAATCGCTTTTCATCCATAATGAGATCAGGAACGTGATTCTCGACTAAGCGTTGTGAAACCAAAGCACAGGAGCCAATGAGAAGTCAAATCTATTAAGGCTTAGCCATGCGTAAGAAAACTCACAATTTGGGTCAGGCTGTTAATCTGATTGGCTGGAATGGTGGCGCGAGTTTTGTCGACCAATCGTGGTGTAGTGAAGTAAAATTAATCCCGCAGTACACTCAATTGATTGAAAAAGTATTTAAATGGACATGTTGTTATACTTTGCGCTTAGACTTCAGGTGAGTTCAGACTTCACGCACTTTGCCACCGCATCTGATGATGGATCTGTCAAACTGTGGGATCTACAAAAACTTGATGGCAGGAGTCTGATTAACAAGTCCAGGCAGACGTACACCAGACAAGGTAACATCTCTCACCGTACCACGCTTCATTTAAAGGTTTCGCTGCGCCTTAATGACCTGTCTGAGAGATCTAATGGCCTGAACTTGAGTGTCGATCAAGGTCATTTGGTGTGCTTTCAAGCACGATACCTCAAGTTAGACTCACAGAACGTCTCTACGATCAGAAATACAACAGCGTATTTCGTCTGTCAAAAATTGTTGGAGGAGAGAGAGACGAAGTAGCGAAAATTCCGTTTATTTACGAAACGAGTGAAATCACTCTTCTCTATGTCCTGCCTGAGGACTTAAACTATAACCTTGTTAATAGTTTTAGAGGTCTTGGGGAAAATTGCCGGAACATTTAGGGTATGGAACCACCAGTCTAAATCGACTGTGCGTGAAAGTTTGCTACCAGGCGAGTAATTGATTTGAGCCCGTTGTTTGTGCTCTAGGTTGGAAAATGAAGGCGTTGACTTTCTGTCAAGGATCCATTTCCATAGCTTGCGCTTCTGATGAAGGAACCATTGATGTCTTTAGGTAGGATAAGAAAAAAAGCATTACCAAGCGGTTTGAAACGCTCTGCAATGGAACAAAACAAATCAACATATGACCCGTACGGCTCCGTGCGTACTTTTAGATAAAAAAAATATAGTAAGGGAGTAGTACTAATCGAATTTTTGAAATTGAAGGTTCAAGGTGTATCTGTTTACTCTCGTGTTTACATCGTTGGTGCGCTGTGCGTAAAGTTTTGTTGATATTTTATGTTCTAAAAACAGAATCGAGCAGGGCAGTCAGCAACCCAATTCCAGGCTTGAAAAAAGAGTGGACCCCAAAGAAGAAGGGACAGTGGTAGAATTGACTCAATTTGAAACAGGTAGCGCAGACACACAGTGTATCATCCACTTAGAGCAGGTTTTCGTTACTGTATGCTTTGGTCTTAATCAGTAAGAGACTGTTTCATGCATGGAAGACTTTCCGTACTGCTCATCCTAGCAGTATGAAGTATGAATCCAGTATGAGCCCTGCTTATGGAATATCCGACTGCAAATTAAAACCTGGGCCTCGAATCCTTACGGGAAGTTGTATTTGTCCGTCCTCAGCCTGTAAAGAATTTTAAAATTCTTCATTTTCGTTTTTTTTTTTTTGTGTATGTATTTCCTACCCTTGTTCAAAACCTTTTTTTTAGGTTCCCAGTCAGTGTTAACGTATGCTACATCTCATGGTCTTATCTGTGGTTGGGATCTTCGATCATCTAAGCTGGCCTGGAAACTAGAAAACGATCCATCTCATGGTAATGTCAATGTTATAATTTTTTTTTTCAACGCTCACGTCGTAAACACTGTCCTCTTGGTTGTTACAAATGTCGCCTTTACTAAAATACCAGAAATTTTATTAGCCACTCCCTAAACCTTTCGTCATATCATCAGGCGAGGTAGCCCGCGAGTATCTCTGTAATCTCCTGGGTGGAGAATAAGAGGGTAATAGAATAAGTGAGGTACCGTGACAGGGTTTCTTGCGAAAGGACACAATTCAATGGCTTTGCTTGCCCCATGTACCCTGAATTTAGGGTGCAAACCGCTAAGTCACAGCCTGGACTACACTGTTTTTTTTGAGTAGCAAGTTTATGGTGGATATGTCAGAGATTTTTTCCAAGCTGGCAGTGGTCTCCTTTTTAGGCGGTAACCGTTAAAATTTACCGCCTGTAGTACCTCGTATTACAGCCTAAAATCGTTTGGACTTCTTGAAAGGTCAACATGCCAAAGGATCGCTCGACCGGTGTTAAAATAATTGAGAATACCGAGTTGAGAAGAGGCATGGAATGGCTATTGAAATGTTTTAGCGTAATTGCTTAATTTAGAACTTCAAGAAGAGACAAGCTATAGCGGATGCTGCTGTTTTGTAAACATGGCTGTTGTAAATTGGTCGTAATCTCCTGGCCCCGGTTGTCCAAACATGTAATAACGCCATCCACTGGATAAATATCTACCCTATGGATAGCCCGGTACGTTTTCTTAACAGTTATCCGCTGGATAGTGATTTATCCATTTGATAGCGTTATCCACTCTTTAAACAACTGGGCCCTGATATTTCTACAGCGATGGGTCTCGGAGACTTGTATCTTTTATCAGCGGTATGACGCAGCACTTGAACTAATCAAAACTGATTCATTCTCAGTTGTGATTAGTTACAATAATTTTGACCTTTGTTCATCAGGTGTGATCACGTCCTTTGTGGTGGACCCTTGTCACAGTTGGCTGACCGTGGGGACGAGTGCTGGTATATTAGTCTGCTGGGATCTACGATTTCAGCTGCCGATCACGAGTCTGTCTCATCCAAGAGGTACTTTCTTTCTGTTTCACCCAATTTCTTAACATACGACGATAGATTTCAGAACGCAATGTAAGGTTTTAAGTTAACATTTACACGATGGTTATGAGTGCCGGAGTGCATGCCTTTTCCCTCCCCTCCTTTAAAGTACTTATCACTTCACGGTAACATTTTACCGTTTTTCCTAGATGGAAAAGGACACAGCAAAAGTGTATAAATTATACTTTCCCATTTCTTTTTGTAAATTTAAAGATGATGTATCTCGGTTTGGGTCCCAGACAGACCTGTCTCACCCCATCAATATGCTAGCAACCGTAAGGGGTAGTCGCATAGCAAGTGTGACGCTTGATAAGGTTTTTTCATGCTTGTAATGCTTCTTTCTTGGTCACCAGGTGCCCGTGTTCGTCGGCTCGCCACACACCCGACCGAGCAGTCCTGGGTAGTGTCAGCCGTGCAAGGTAACAATGAAGTGACCGTTTGGGACCTGGAGACTGGAGCGTGGAGACAAGCTCTGTGGGCAAGTCACACCCCTCCCCTCTCGCAAACACAGGTCTGTAGCTATGCTCAAGGCTTTGAATCTCATCTAAGTGATATGTCTTGGTTGCAGTGTCCTGTGCCGTTGGACCTGAAAGGGTATCTGTATTCCTCATCAGTTTTTCATTACATAATACCGAAGATATGTGAGGTTGCTCAAAACTTCTTTTACACGCGTCACGAAACTATGTTTTATTAGAGAGTTTTAGAGATGAGATGGGAGATAAATCGTTTATTAAAATAAGTCTTGAGACTGAATTACATGTTTAAAAACAATAATGGATAATCTATACACACACGATAAATATAATAATGAAATTTGAACTATCCAGTGGCCTTGGTTGCATGGTGCATGATAAACGAGTTCTTAAATCTGTTAGTCTTGATTAATGGCAGCGATCCACGTTTGTTGCCTTCACCGCAAACGTCAAACCGCGGTAAGCACTTTGAGGTTAGAGATTAGAAGTTTTGAGGCTTTCAGCTTTTTAGATCGACATCGGCTTTTACCCAAAAAAAAAAAAATCGGCATGTGAGCCGCCATCTTGAATTACACAAAGGATGGAGGTCCTTCATTCGAAGCACAAAATGTGGCTAAAAGATTAGTTTTACAGCGTCCCAAACGGATTGGTTATAAAAAGACTCTACCTCACATATATTTATAGGACATACGTACGAACTTTCGAACAGGAAGAAAAAACGCGTCGAGGGAGTTGAATTACCTGAAACTGCCTTGCCCGAAGTTCAAACGTGGACGGCAAACGGCAAACGTGACCGTTGAAATCTGGTCACGTGACTGCTAGACGTTTGCGGTCATGCGTATTCAGAAACAAACGTGGATCTAAAACTCCCTTATTACTCTGTTCAACATCTAAAGGTAATCTCGAAATTCAGTATAATTTTTAGAACGTTAAATCTGGTACCTTGAGTTCCAAAGCTGATATTTCTTCCTTTCTTTTTTACTTGTATACGAGGTACCTCAAAAGAGGTAAATAAATCGCCGCTTCTTTTGAGATTCAAGGTGTTTCAGTTTACTACACAAAGGCTTTGATGCCGCATAGAGAAGGAAATAGCGGTGGAGAATCCTCTGAGTAATCGCTATTCTCGTCTGGTTTCTAGGTTTCCCCTAACGCAGTGCATGCGCTGTATACAAGCAGAAAGGATGTTAGTCCGTACATCCTGACCGCAGGCTCAGATCGGCGGATTCGGCTGTGGGACCTGGCCTATCCTGAACGTTCCCAGATGGTGGCAGGAGTTGCTACTGATAACCTGAATGGTGTGGTACTACAGTACAAGTAAGGACTACCTTATCGAGTATACTATCGTCAATTGTATCTTGACGGAGTATTTAAAGGCTGAGAACATGGTCAATTGACAAGAATTTCGTTATTTTCATTTGTCAGATCTAGGTCATCACAATTGTTTCTTTGTTTAATTTGCACTTTACTCTAAAATAGTTTCAACTTACCTCGCGGTTTATTCATCCAGCGAAATAGCGTTATCGAGATTTAATTTTTTGGCAAAATTTAAAGATATCTCGTTGTTTATTAAAAGCGGCCTTGAATTTTCCAATAGTTTATTGTATTTCAGAAAACCAATGCTATACACGCATCATCTATATGCTTGTTTCTATTTCTAGATCACGTCTTATAGACGGTACCGATGTACTCCAGGAAGTTTACTGTAAGCCACGCCAGGGTGGCATACATGATGATCTACCTCGACGAGGACCCGACCATCCCCCTATGGGACATCATGAATGTATCAACGACATCGCTGTCACTAAATTACCCCAGAACTATATCATATCGGCTGGCAGGGATGGCGTGCTCAAAATATGGAAGTAACTCACTGCTCTTATCCCGAGGAATTACGTTGCCTTAGAGTCAGCAAAACACTTTTAAACCGGTCGTAGATAATTACATTTGATGTTGACAGTTGTTGAGATATCCCCAGGGGGAACTGGTTAATCGACAGAGACGATCAGTCAAGTCAAGTTAAAGGAGAAACGCTATAGTAGAGGAAAACATCTATATTATTTGTCAAATGTTTTGAAAATGTCCTGCTTTCTTCAGGTTTACAAATATGTTTTAAACCAATGACTGTTTGAAAGCTACAATATATGATGCAATCATCATTCACAGGCTTGTGGTTCATTTTCCTTGTTTTTCTTCCGTTTGTTTGGTTACTTTTATATATTTTTAATCAGTAGTTGATTCAGGCAATTGTAGCGCGGTCGATTAAATATCTGCTAACTGCTATTGTGATAGCGAAAATAATTGGTTTATAAGACCCGAAGCAAGTCGGAGAGACCTTTTTCTCACCCAACCTTAAAGCCTGTTTCCCCCTTCCCTCTCATGGGTTGGGGAATAGAATATGAACAGCTTCTTTCCCAGGGTCGTAGGGCAGATTTCTACGAGGATTGTTGGATGCAGTAAGAAAATCTAGAAACCCTCTCGTGCCGCGCAACATATGATGCAGTCTTCAGGATACGAGACCAGAAGGATGGCGTTACCTTGGCTTCTCACAGGACTAAAGCGTGGCTTTAATCATATGAGAAAACAAAGGGTAATCGGTCCTCAACTAGAACCTTTGAACTTTGTTCAGGCACATGATCTAAATTGAATACTAAATATTTTATAATTCACGTGGAAGCAAAGATAAGCCTTTAAGCTTATCTCAGCTCCAGTCCTGCTACAGCATTGCAAAGAAATACATACCGAGGTAAGCATAATAGATCTTTGTAGTGGCATTACTTGCTTCTTTACCTTAAAAGTCGATGAATTTCTGTTAAAAAAAAATTAATTTTAACTTTTACTAACCCTAACGTAGAGGGCAACATCTGATTTGCTCGCCAAAGTAATGTAGAGATAAATGGACAGATCGCCATTTAATTGCCAAAAATTTTTCTTTGATAAAGAGAAAATAGTTTACTTGCAATTTGTTCGTGCCGAGAATTTCTGATTCAACGCAAATTATCGGTGAGGTGATTCTTTTAACACAGTGTATATATTCAGGCGTTTGTTCTTGTATGACAACTGTTAACTGCACAAATGCCTGTTGATTTTTCAAATTTCGAATTCAATTTTTTTCTCTGATAAAAAGGACGCTGATGCAATATCTTCGGAACTTTTTCGGAAATCGTCGGAACATCTTTGGTGTTTCTTCGGAAGGTGTCGGAATACTTTTGGAAATTTCACTAAGCCAGGTGCCAAGCGTTTAATTTTTCTCTTTCAGGTGAATCTGACGTTAGCTCTTCCGCATGCAAACACAAGCATGGGGAAACAAATACTCAACATTTGGAACGGAATCTTGTTTATAAGTGTGTTCATTGGTAAGTGGTTATATCGAAGCTTCTCTTCTTGTTGTTAAACTAAACTACAAAATTAAGTCCAGCTCTGTCAGATGCACATCTGTGTTTTGAACAACTTGTGATGTAGTTCATGAGCGGGTAGAAAACAGCCCCAAGTACTTTGTAATTCTTAATAATTATGATAATAATCTTTTTTAGAGCACCTTTGACAATTTTCCGAAGTTTGTTTGGTTATATTTAGCATTTAATGAAGATTTGAATTCAAAGTCCGAAGTGATTTGGGTTTTAGCCATCACGACGAGTTTTTGGTTTTGACAGTCTTGTCTTCTTCCATTATGGACGGGTTTAGTTTATGTGCTGACATTGCCTTGGACCCAACCCTAAGTTTTTCGTTATGGCTTTCTGAGTCAAAAATTGAATGTTTGATCACAAGTTTAAATTCCGTTATTGTTCATTCGTGAGATCTTCCTGTGTGTGGATTAGTGTTCTTGTGAAAATGTTTAATCTTCCAAGATCATTTTTCGTACATGCCCACTCATGTCTACCGATACTATCTACCTAGTCTACCTATCTACCAATAGGAGCGATTTCTACAGAGTCGGTTAGAGAAAGCCAAGGAGCAGACAAGTTAGAGAAGTTAATCAGTTCTGAGAGAAGAATTATAACATAAAAGAGGGTTTAGAGAAGAACTGAAAGGACGGTTCATGGGTCCTGGTTACGTTTCGCTGAGAGTGGTACGCTCTGTAGATATTTTCTCACCTTCCACTTGCAACACTAACTTCACCCAAACGATGCTCTTTTTTTTCCCAATTCAGTTGGTGACAATGATGCCGCAAATTCCTGTCCCAGTCTCCCAATCACATATGCTTCGGACGGCGATAACGTTACTCTCTGCTGGCGAATTACAGTCAACGCTAGTAGTGTGAACCGCTATATTATCAAGGCATTGAAAAGGCCAATCCAAACCAACATGGATGAAGTCGCCTCTGCAAATGGGACAGGACATTTTGAAAAGGTATACGCTAAAGATCATGACGGCTTGTACCTCAACAAAGTTACCGTCTTCGCCGATTTATCTGCGGGAATGTTGTACCTCAGAATCAAAAACTACACCAGAAAGATGGACAATGTCTACTGTGTGTTGTACAATATTTCAGACGGTCCTCCTTTAGAAGCGTGTCACTCTCAAGCGCTGTTACTTCGAAATGTTGGTGAGTTCATCTCATGTGTCCGGTGTAGAAATGACTAACCACACTCAGACCATCAGACTCAACACATTGGACTGTTACTCGTGATTTTGAAACCATGCACTTGTCACTGTAATTACTCAGGATCCTTAGCCCTGACTATAGAGATTTTGATTCTTAATTTTAAATGAGTATAGGCCTACAACAGTTTTTAAAAAAAGCAACCTGTTTATGGAAACTATAGACCACAGTTTTGACACCCAGACATTCTGTAGTTTTCCCATGGTTAAAGGATGTCTCCGTGATCAGTTTTTTGAGAAACGTAATTGTGTCACGACGGAAGATAATTAGATATTTGTTTTGTATTGCTTTGTAATTATGCTCTCCGCGATGGGACCAGAGACTCGGGTCATTTTACTGTTTTGCAGCAAGCTATGAAGAACCAAAAGCGCGAATTCCCCTAGCCTTCGTGTAACCGTACCCTCCCCCCCCCCCAGGGTGAAACGGAGGCGAGGTAACCTTGGGGGGAGGATACGGCTACACATAGGCTAGAATTCCCCTACCCAATCATGCAACCAAATAAAGCAGAACCAAAGCAGTCACTGATTTCTTTCAATTCCCATTTGTAAACGGATTTATCTCTCCTGAACATAATCTGCAGACCACCGTGAATCCCCAGTACAAACTACCACAACGATGACCACAGAAACCACCTCGAAAACTACCACGGCAAATATCACCACGGCGACTATCACCACGGCGACTATCGCCACAGCACCCGCAACTGAAAATACAGAAATCACAGAGGTGACAACTGAAGGTGGGTACTCGTGGATTAGTGTTTGTTAGTTTGTGGTTTCGCATGAAGCATGCGTATTTAGATTAGCTCAGGAGTTAAGATGCTCATGTATTTACGTAAATTGTATCACTCCAAGCGTGGCGTATAACCCTACCTCACCCCTTACCCCCACCCCCTTAGCAGTTTTGTTAGTCAATGGGAACTTTTTTCTCTCTTTCCTCCTTCTTCCCAACCCCTTCACCCTACAATCCCTTGCATTCTGCTTTCGCTCGCACTTCAGACGAAGATAGAGTTGAAAGACGTTTTACTAAGAAGATGAGAGGGCAGGGGGGTAGGGGGGAGGAGGAGGGAGAAATTGTCAGGTAGCTGAGTTCTATTTTTTTCTTTTCAGGTTCACCTACTGTCCAGCCTTACAGAACGGCTTTGATAATCATGAGCTGTTTGTTTGCTATTGCTCTCATTCTTGCCATTTTTGGTTTCGTTTTGTGTTGCTGTGCAAGAAAATCCCATCAAGCCAACTTAAAATCCGACATCCTCGAAGAAACTGAGTCCCTTTAGCTGCAAATTGATTCTTATTTGTTCTTTAAGCTGCAGTAGGTTAAAATGAAATCAAGAGCTACGGAAGAGAGAAACAAGTATTAGATCCTGAGACTTACAGAAATATTTATCTCATGAGCTATTTGGTCAGACAATGCGGCAAATTCTTATTCTGCAACTTTGTATATCGCCTTAGCGGAAAAAAATCAGCTTTTAGATTCAGGGTGGACGCTTAAAATATGCATTTCATTGAGACTAACTTGGTTTAGAACTGGTTGTTGCGGTTTGTCGTGGTTTGTTCAATGTTTAAACATTGACCTCCAATTTGCGCCAAAGTATGTTCGAATATTGGCCTGCAGACTTCATCTCTTCTGAGGAGCCGGCAGTTTTCCGAGAGCGAAGCTTGAGGAAACACGAACTTCAAGAAACAGATGATGTCCACGGACAAATATACGAGCATATTTGCGAGCCAAATGGAGGCTGAACGGTGTTTATCATCCTTCATATGTTTCTGCTGCGCGCAAGACAGAATGTGACAAATGACTCACCGTCAAAACTTTTACAGCGAACGATTTGTTTCTTCAGTTTCCTTGCTTTTGAACAAAACGAAGAAGTTTATTGTATTGAGCATCAAGTTTAACAATTTTGCCATATCATCAATTAAAGTTTTAAATATTGAGTTAGGTTTTTTCTTATGAGTTATCACGGATTTCTCATTTCTTTTGTTTTTATCTTGTAACCATCAATTCAACTGCCCCTGTATCTACACGTATGTAACTAGCTGTAAGCTGCATAAACTATGGTATAGTATGTAGTGGTAAATGATTTAGGAATGATTTATTCTGTGTTTTCCTATTCTAACGAAATCGTAGATAGTATATAGTTGTACCAGGGCCAATTATGATCAGCTAGGTCAGGTTATACACATAAATTTGCCATTTATTTCTAACTCTCAAGGAAAGTTACCCGCTCAATAAACGTGGCCCTCTTTAGTCACGTACAGGGATATTTTTCGTGATGGATGAATTTCTTTATTGACGTGATCAGTCAATGATCGAAAGGCTTCTCGTGAACCGTGAAGAACTTGAATCAGTAACCGATATTTGTGATTTTACCACCTGATACCGTCATTATTCCACGAGAATTGAAGCACGATTCCATCGAAGATCAGTTTAGGAAGATCAGTGGACTGTGACACCATGAACACAATCGTGAGCTATTGGCAACGGAAGAGTCTGCAATTTAGGATGCGGATTTCGTAACATCTGTTCGACAACTTTTCAGATAGGCTGAATAAATTAAATTCTGTCTGCAAATAAGATTCTTCTCTCTACCGGTAATGTCTGTCAAGGTTGTTTCTGACTATCACGTGCGGCATATGTGGTGCTGTACTCAGGCCTAGGCGTGTTCTGATGATTTTAAAGGATTTCTTTAAATATCTATTCTCGGTGTTGAACTTTAAACCTACAAAGATCATCCTGTGTGACATCTTCCAAAAAAACTTTTAAAAAATGCCCTATGGCAGAGGGTTCCATGATACATCATTTTAATGCACTGATGTCTTCAAAGCCTTTCTATTGATTTGCACGCGGGCGAAATTTCGTGCTCACCTCGTAAAAGAGCTTCACAATCTCTAGGATATTATGCCGTGGCAGTGTTGATAGCTGTAGAACGTCTTAATTTATTGTTTGTAGATATAAGTAAAGTGTTCTCATCGACGTAAACAAATCAATCAGCTTTTGTAAGCATGTACACTGTTTTGGCAAAGTTCCATAAATGGAAGTTTCACCTCTCGACACCCTTAAGCCTTGTCAGCACGACAGAATGTTCAGCAAGATGTTGTGTTGGGTTAGGCAAGTCGTATCAATTCTTTAACTGTCTGCAGTTCAGAGAGGAGTCCCATTTTTGAATTTCTGAAAAAATGGTTGGAAAAAGGTTGTCTTATTTCCTAAACGACCATGAAAATTATGACACAATAAGTGATAATCTCGTGTGTTGGATTTCAATGTTTTTTAATTCACGATAAAATATAAACAACTTGTCTAAAATTTAAAATATACCCCAACGGCGCCTTTCGCTTCAGACTCTCTCTGTTTAGAGAACGCTGGAAATCTGTGTCGTTGCCTCGCTTATCAACGCCGGATTTCTCTGTAAGGTAAAGCAAATTCCAAAAGGGAAATGAATCTTTTTTTCTAATTTAGGTTACTCGAAGGGCATGAGTTTAATTGCGTTACCTTGATTTTTATTCATTGGACTCAGCGTAGTATCAATCACGAGTTATTAGTAAGTCGAACGTTCACTGATCGCTAAATAGAACCTTGTACTTTGGTCGAATGCCTCGGGCACATGACAGCACATGTCTTTGCGACTTAATTACTAATGCCCTAAAAGAAAGCAAAGTTCTCGGGCTGTTTTCCGCAGCCAAAGTCAAGTTGAAGCAGTGTTAACATCTAATTCAAAACCAAAGTAAGTACAATTCACGTTAAAAGTTCGTTTATTTGCTAGCTATAGCTTGCATTAGAGATGTAAACGAATTTCCATTCGAAACCAAGAAAAAAAGTTTTCTTTCAGAACGATCATGATAATTTATTCTTTTTATGCCTGTGCACGCAAACTCGAGGTAAAATCGTGACTGCCGGAAACTGTCCAAGTATAATTTCACTCGTCTGGTAAGTTGCTTCTTTCCGGCAATGAACTCTTTTTTGAACATGGTGACCCAAGTTTGAAATATATACATGACAAAAAACTTCTATGGCCATGACACCGAAGTAGCATGATTTGTTTTCGTGTAAATAGTACCAAAAGTTATATAATTGAAGAAAAACAAATTTTCTCAGTGCTGACGCACTGAATTATTTCCACATTCGCACAGAAGTAAACTGGACTGACGGATGGGGTTGTTTGCAAACAGAACTTTAATTCTTTTTGAGAATTTTTAAAAACTGCATTTTTTTTTCGGCTAAGCGACATCTGGTCAATTGAAACAAAGTGAGGTTGTTTTGGAGTTGCCATAACTTTCCTGTGACTAAAGTAATTTGTTTAATTCACTGGTTTTAATTTACAGCTGCCACCCCAGAGAATGTTTTACAAAAAATTTCCTAATCAATCTTTAACACTGCAATTTCTCAAGAACCCCTTGAACGGCGCAGATGAGATCTGCAATGCCAAATGTCACCTAACTTTTACTTGGTTCAATGTTATTTAAAAAACTTTTTATTTATATCTTTGTTTTATCGTCCTGCTATTTTCACGATGAAAACCATGTTCAACCAACCTTACGCAACCCGGCTCGTGTCAAGAAAAATCGTGATCAGTCAAAATGTATAAAAACTTTCTAATACCCTCTCCTGTTAGGACAGATCAAGATAAGAATACTTAAATAATAATATTTTGAGTGGCAAATCTTCATTAATTATTGGAGAAAAAAATCAACCAAATCCGCCGAAAAAAAAAAGACAAGCTTAGAATGTTACATAATATCACGTCGCGTGGAATGGCTATTTGTAAGGGATCAAATTAAAAAATAATAATTTCAATTATCAGTGCTAAAGTTTCATCACGTTTTTCAATTTGTGCCGAGAGGGTCAAGAGTCCCACTTTTACATTTAAGGAAGTGTACGCTGATGTCTCAGAGAGGCCTCCTCAGCCCAAATCCTGGGTGGTGCGCGATTTTTTTTGGGAGAATTGCGTGACATTGCAATTGAGACTCAAGAAATCACGCTCGTTTACACAAGGAAGAGTAAAGCGATTTTAAATTGCTGTAGGGGTGTGATCAACAGTGGAGTGGAGCATTGGTCTTAGATTTTCATTAAAACAGTCTTTAATGCGACGGTTTATTTTTCCATCGGTCGATGAATTTTACATTAGCCACCTAACTTGCGTGACACAAATTTTACCCCTTTCTTTCTAGAAAATTAAGGTTCCGCTCATACTCTCGGTTTAATATAAATAACTTTAGCATCACGGAAATAGACAATTTGCCTTGTTAACAATCGCACGATGTCCTTTCTCCAAAGTTTCTCCAAACCCTTAATAGGCAAACAAAGAGAGACAGATCTTCGCTCTGTCGGTTATGGAAGTCGGTTTTTTGTTTTCTTAATTTAAGTGACCGGTTTCTTATTTCTCCTAACAGCTTCACTGCTCAACAAAAAATTCATGATAATTTATGAGTCATAAATTCTCATGAAGAGATTCTCTCTTGAAGAGATCATCAAGTTAAGAAGCTCTAGATTGTTTTCCAAATTCTCCTTACCAGTATGATGGGAAATGTATGGAGACCAGTACGGAGAATATGCATGCCGATGATAGGGTGTAAAGGGTTTGAAATAAATGTTGGGATGCTGACTGAAACATCAAATGAGAGTGCTCTCTCTCTCTCTCTCTCTTAGGACAAGAATGGAAAAACAGATCCTGCCACAAATTTTCAAAGGAATTTTATTCATAAACGTATTAATTGGTAAGTAGGGAAAATCAAAGCTTCTTATTTCTAGTTAACCAGCAACAGTGAAAGATATAGCTACCAACCGTCTCTGCTCTTCGATATATTCGGTATTTAAACAAAAATACTTTCACTCAACTCCACTCTATTTCTTTATCTTTTCTTCAGCAAGAGTCAAAGTTGCCGCAATTTCTTGCCCTAGTCCCCCGATGACATATGCTTCGGAAGGCGATAACGTCACCTTGTGCTGGCGAATTGTAGCCAACTCTAGTATTGTGAGCCGCTATTATGTTAGGGCCCTGTCAAGGCCAGTCGAGTCTGTAATGGATCCGGTCGGCTCTGCAAATGGGACTGGATATTTTGAAAAGGTGTACGCTAGGAAGCATGACGGAAATTACATCAACAGAGCCACTGTAATTGCCGATTTATCCGCCGGAATGGTGTATCTCAAGATTACGAACTACACGAAAAAGATGGACAATGTGTACTGTGTGCATTACCAATCCCGGTTGGGCATGAATGACTTAACACCATGCCATTCTCAAGCGCTGTTATTGCGAAATATTGGTGAGTACGTATACCTAAAATGCGAATATGCTGGCTTGTAACGCTTTTCCTCATCTGAGCGTATTTGCTCATCGATAACTTACCTGTCCATATTGAAGTTGTCCAAGGCGAAGCGGTTTATCGAAGCAAGTGATTTCGGGTGCACTGTGATGGCGTAAAGCAGAGTGCAGGTCGATATTCCTGTTATGTTACTTTATTCTGTTTAGCCGTAAAGGTCTTTCGATCTCGCCATTTAAGCATCATTTACAAAGAATGTTGTTAGCCACGCTATCGTGTCTAGCCCGGTTGACAGCATTTTTGTACCGTTTCAGGTTTGATAACGGTGTAGCCTCTGATCGACTTGGAAACGGTGTGTAGGCCCCGTTGGATCTTGTTGTTGTGGGTGTGACAAAGTTATTCGGCCAAATCAGAACTTTGACATTAGGCAACTGAACGCTGTATGGACGGGTTGTTCTTTTTTCTTTTTTTTCGATTGCGGCAAAAACGATCGGATAAGCTTGACTGATTACATATCTGCGAGGTTCTTAAGTTATTTGTCCATGTTCATTAGAGCAAAGGAAATTTCAAATGAAGATAACGAGACCTAAAAGTGAAAAAAAAAATTAAAATGCAAACTGTCTCGATTTCTGGTTTCTGTTGAAATCTGTTTGCAGACCTCCGTGAAGTCCCATTACAAACCACCACAATGATGGCAACAGAAACCACGACCAAAGCTACCACGGGCAAGACAGTAAGTAATCCTACTACTGAGATGAGCACAGCAACACCAGAAGCAACTACTAAAGGTGGGTGGATATGGACTGTTCTTTAAGTCAGGTTACTCCCCGCTGTGCTATGCGCGAGATCCTCTGAAAGACAAGTATGCAAAGTCGTGCGCACGTATTAAACGGCCCAAACCACGTAATCAAGGTTACCCCAGTTACAGTTGCAAGAAGGTGTTAGAGGTCTACTGTTAACTCCTCTTCTCATCGCCCCACCCTCCCCCCCCCCCCCTTTACCCTAACGGAGTTAATCAAGGAGACTTTCATTTCCTGGAATTCTCTGGCCGCAAGAGAGAATATCCAAGAGAAGTCTCGAGGCGGATTTTATACGTTTAATAAACACAATTGAGGTTACAAGGTCTTCGCAGGTTCGCGAGTGAAGGTTAAGAGAACTGACAACGCTTCGGTTTTACGAAAATAATTGGGAGTGTATTTCCGGACACGTTTCATACTTCTGTAGTCAAAGCTTAGATTACACGATTGCGTGATGTGAGTCCCAGTCCCCGACAACTAGTTATGAAAGTCAGCAGTAATAATGAAAAGTGAGTTGCACTCTTCATTTCATCATAAATTGGAAGGTTGTCTTTTTTTTGAAAAAAAAAAGAATCATGAATCATTGACAGGAGAAATTTTTAAGGTTCGGCAATTTAGAAAACACGAGAAAGACGATAACGCGCTTCAACTGAGGAATGTGGAAAGTTGAAGATGACGCGGATAATCAACACTGATAAACTAAACAGCACAGGCCTCATTTACTATCAAGTTGTTCATCTCTTTGCTAAATTATTTTTTTCCACTTTTCAGGTCCAATCACTACCATGGCTCCTTCTTCAAGGACTGCATTGATAGTTATGAGCTGTTTGTTTGGTGTTGCCCTCATTGGTGCAATTGTTTGCTTCCTTCTGTTTTGCAAGGCAAGGAAACAATCTAACCATATTCCCGTCAAAACGAACTGCGCGGCTGAGCAGCTTTAACTGTTTTTGACACTAACTGATCCAACAGTTACAACACTGACTGGGGGCCTGGTCAATATTTGTCACCTGGGGTTGGGGTGGGGTAGGGTGGGGGTTGGAGGATTTTAGTTTTGTCACGTTAAATTAAATACGATCCCCCCTATAAGACTCTGCAATATTCTCATGATCTCCCCTCCCTCCCCCCCCCCCCCCCCGTTTCATTGGCAGTCAATTTTCCATAGTACGTCCCCCCTTTATACTCTACTAGCGACGACTGATTCCCCTTCCGTTCACCTGAAAACCATTTCATCCCCCAAAATCCTCCGCCCTCCTCACGCCCCTCACCCCAGACAATGAATAATGTCCGGCCTAATAAGACCCTGTACTGTCCACACTTGGCAGGATAACTGACCTTACGTAGCTAAAACAGGAGTGTGAACATTTGTTAGTGCCTATTTTGTTTTGCTGTTCCTGTATAATTATTGTTATGTATAAAAGGTTAAATCTATTATCACTTTTGATTTAATTTATTTGTGAATAGCGAATCAGTGAATACACAGCCAAATTTTCAAGATAACTTTGATAAGGTGTCAATGAGTGAAACTCCGCGTGTCTTGCTCATACTTTTTTGAAAGTTTTAAGTCGAGCTATTGGACCTCTTCTGCATTTATAGCTGTACTGAGTACACTTTTGGTGAAGTTTCCTCACTTTTCCCGTGGGCTAACACCCATGGGCGATAAGAAAAATTGTTTTACCTGTGTTCTTATTTCTTTATTTATGGATTTTGCTTCATCATGACGTATTTTCGCTGAAGACTATAACCTAGTTTTAAAGTGAATAAACTTTGAGTGACTTTGGTAGATGGCTGTTGCCCCTCTTAGTTTGCGCTGTCGGAAACACCCGGCTGCTGATGGTCAGGAGCCTTTCAGCTCTTCAAATTAGGCTTTTGAAAATCGAGCAGATCGGAGAGCCATATATAGATTCGACTCCGGTTAGGAGCACTCGTTATCATCTCTATTCTGTAAGTTTTCTGGGTTGTTGTGACAAACTATGACATAATTAGTCACTTTTTTCATCATCATCATGCTCAGGGAGAATTTACCATCACAATTTTGATGTTCTGTTTGCCCAACATTTCGATAAGGTGAAGAGCGCAACGTTGTAAATTATTTCAGTCCTGTGTCCTCAAGAAGAGGTCATAACTTTCCGGAACATACTTAGATTTTCCGTGACACAGGCTTAGCTGTTGTCACACAGGCGCAAACAATGGCCTTTACTATATAAGAAAGCTCTTAATTTTAACCTCCGGTCTTATAATCCATTGACTGTCATGGGAAAAGCAGGTTACTTTAAAATCTCGACCATAGGCCCCAAGAAACAGGCTAAGATAGGGGTAAACACCTTTATTTCTCATTATCAGCAGCCCTTTATCCTATTATTCCTCAATGTTGGCTAGAAGTAAGACTGCATTTACCCACCTTTCCTTATTGTGGTTTGTGGTATGACTAAGTAACTTTCGTCATTAGCGTCGTCTCGTTGTACGGCAGGATGGCTCGTTCGAAAAGTTATCCAATTCAACGTCGATACGCTCCCCTGGAAATAAGCTCCCTAAGCCGTCCCCCACCCTTCCCCACCCCTAACAGTGCAAGACCACCCCAGAATCCATACGAAATATCATCGTGTAATCAACCTTTGATTACAGATCGGGATTTCTCGGTATTTCCGTCTCCTGGTGAAACAAGAATATGATGCCAAGCAGTGATTAAGTTCGCAGACGCTTAATATATCCATTGCGTTCAGCACACGCGACGTTGTTTGCAAGCAGGAAACAGCGGTACCGCTCAAATCGACTTGGAGGAACTGAACAGATCGAATACAAACTAAGGTAACAGCTTTTAACATTTACAAGAGATCTTTCATTTCAAAATATCCTTTAGAAAACTCATCGATAAAAGTCAACAACCGTATTTCAATGAAGGAAACGGTTTCAGAGGGTTAAATTGCTTTCATTTATTTGTCGATTACATCCGTCAATCAGCAATCTGAAATCGTCGAAACAATGAAGAAAGGGTTGCGTACTTCCAGAAGATCACTCCATTGTTGCACCGCCATTTCTTCATCACACGCAGTGCTAAGTCCTATCATCTTCCAAAGTAACTTAGTGAATTGTGTGAGTCTCATAGTAATGGGTCCAAATAATACATCCCCTACACCTCTGACGGGAATTATCATCATACTTTTACGTGCTTGCTACGAAGCCTTCTAAACCTCACTTTGAGGAAAAATTCTGTTGTTTTTGAACAAGTTGTCGAGACTAGACAGACAAATTTTAATGAACATCAAATGCAAATATGCCCTGCCATTCATGAGATGGTCTACAGACGACAAGTTCACGCCCTGCGTCACGCCTCCACCAGGACCAGGGAGACTGGAACGCAATCACGAGAAAAATGTCAAGATACTGCACCCGCTAATAAGAAATTTGAAACTACGGAATTCGTTCGTGTGTTGTTAAAAATAATATCCAGGTTGAAATTAGCTGTGGGTACATACAGATAATTATGAGTTAAATAGTTCCGACAATAATTTGCCGGATTTCGACCGCCAGATTTAGGCCAAAACGTCGGGAGGGGCCGGATGTTTTAAAATTACTATGAAACATTATCCTCTCTTATTTGAAATTTTCTTGTTTTCTTACTCTTTAGAGGCAATTTGTCGTTCAGCAAGGATCAGCATGAGACAGCACATCTTTCTACAAATTTTCATTGGCATTTTTTCCTTAGGCATTTTCAATGGTAGGTGTTTTATCCAAGGGATGGGTCGTCATTTATCCTTTGGGTTTTGAGGCTTTTGGGGAGGATCACATGGTTTTTAGTGGGAACGAAGAGGGGAATCAGTCGACGCCCACAGAATATTGAAGAGGGATATAGACTGCAAATCAGGAGATCATTAGAATGCAGCAAAGCCTTAAGGGTGATGACATGAATATTATTGCAACACGAACAAAATCCCCTGACACCCCTCCCCCTCCCCTCCAGGCGCTAAATAATAACCGGTTCCGTTGTTAACTTTATTTCAACTTGGATCGAAAGAGCATTACATGCGCACTAGTAATTTCTAACGCTACAGGAATTATTTGCCTTACTGTACTAAGATAGTGCACGCGAACTACACGGTAGTACGTCTGGTATTCACACTTCCAACTGTCTTTCTTTCTCTTCTTCAGCTGGATGTAATGCCGCTACTGATTGCCCAAGTCCTCCCATAACATATGCTTCAGAAGGGGATGATATCACTCTGTGCTGGAAGATGTTACCGGAAGCAGTTAACGAGAGCGATAGCTTTCTTAAACGTATTACTGTGTTTGCCTTGAAAAGGCCGGCCGAACTGGACATGGAGAAAATCGCATCGGCAAATAAGACTGGACAATTTTTGAGGGTGTACGATGCAAGTCATAATGGTTTGTACAAAGACAAAGCAACTGTCTTCGCCGATTTACCAACCGGAATGTTTTATCTCAAGATAACAGACTACAATGACAACATGGACAATGTGTATTGTCCCCTTTACGAGATGTCTGGCATTAATGACATTCCCTCGTGTCATACTCAAGCGTTGTTACTGCGAAATGTCGGTGAGTAACTTACTTAAGGGTGGGTTCCTTGGTGTAAGATATTTGTATCAAGCAAGAGATTATAAAATGAGAGAAATTATCCCCCCTACAAACCCCTCTTCCAAAGATTTTTTTCTAAATATATTTTTAGTGTGCGTTCCTGCGATGCGACTGAAAACAACAACTGATTGGCTAGTGTTTCTGTGGTGAAATTCGATGAGTGATGTTTGGCGACCTGGGGCGGCCTGGGGCGGCCTGTGGTTTGTGGTTTATAATCTCTTGTGTTTACCCTTTAACTCCCAAGATCTCATTAGCAATTCTCCTTACCGTCTCCATACACTTCTTGTGATGGAAGTTTAAAAAAATTGGTATTCGATCGACTTATAATCCCCTAACTGATATTTTTCTTTTTTCTCATCCCTTGTCTGCTTGATACTGTAATGATATTGTAAGGAGAAATTCTGTCTTGGTCACTCATGGGAGTTAAAGGGTTAAGATATAAAATTTGATGGTTCAAGTTTGTGACTCCAAAAAGTTCTATAGATGACCCCTGATCATTACAGAGTCCTTCGTCACAACATAAGTTCAGTTATAGAGTTTTTACTAAAGGCAACATCATGAGGGGGGGGAGGGGGCATCTTATTGCCACGCTCGATATAAAATAATATTATAATTCAAAATAAAAGAGGTCTGCAAGAACAGATGAATGAGTAAATATAAATTCTTGAGGTGAGAACCAAGAAGCTAAGCCATCCATGAGGCTGTTAGGAGGGTGCGTCTCAATGAGGCTGTGAGGAGGGTCTCAAGGATGTCAACTGTTGGCCGTAAAGCCGCAAAAAAAAATAGCCGTTAGGTGCAGAAACTGATAAATTTTTAACTTTTCGTCGTGAAGAAAGTTAACCGTGAAATTTTTCTTTTAGCTGCAGCTGAAAGAAATTAACCGTTAGCCGTAAGATGGCCAAAGTTTTTACCGTTCGCTGTAAAAGCCATCACCATCTGTCAGAGAATAACCGGTATACTGGTATGGTCTTAAAGCCTGTGTAACAGATTCTCTTCACTGACTGTTGTCCATTTGTCTTTTGTTAGCTCTAAAACCTGCAGAGAACTCCGTGACAGTGGAAGGTAGGTGTTATGAAATAAGCTTTTCTGCCCCATTGCCAGGCTCTCTCCTCTTAACCTCTAATTCCCCCCCAACCCTCCACCCCTTCTCTGGTTCAAGGGAGGGGGAAGACGGTAGACCCTTGTAACATCGCAATCACCAAACACGTTATTATGGAGAAATTGTTGATAATTCATTGAAAATCGATCGTAGCTTTTTTTAAAAATGTTTCCTCCGTCCATTGGCTATCGGTTTCCAAAATGTATCCGTATGCACCACCTGAGTTCTCACATTGGGGAAACCGAGGATGAAGCAATGCGGAGGGGGGGGGGTTGGCTTTAGTGCACGTGTTCCCATCTTTTCCAACAGAAAGTGGTGATTGATGACAAGAGAATGTAATTATTCTCTTGTTGATATACAACCTGGTAGACCATCAAGTACCTTACAAAAAGGTCTTAATGTAGTTAACCCTCAACCGTCAGAGGACCAAAAAATTAACCATGAACCCTCAAAGATGCAGTCGCATCTCTCAATTATTCTTTATTTCCAACTAAAATGGCGTCTGTGTATAGCTAAGAAACGGACGATGTTGTGTCTAATTTTTGGATGGGCAAAGTTTAAGCGCTAGAAATTTCCGCTATACTTAAATAGAAGAAATGGTTATTTGATTATTCGCGAAATTGTATCCTCACGGCAACCGCCTGGACACATCGGTAATATACGTTTATTTCCCTTCCAGGACGATTGTCAACAAGCGTCAAGAATACTCCTTCTGGTTTGATAGTGAGCTGTTTGCTTGCGATTGCTGCCATTATTACCGCTGTTTTGTAACTTCAGAAAGCAAAAAGATTTTAAAAAATCTCTTTCAGAACCTGCAATGTTACCCATTTACCTTACCTTTTTCATTTATGTATAGATCAGTATCATGATTGTATTTACCCGATTACTGCGCTTTTTAATGACATATAAACTCTTAGGCACAAACTTTATCGTAACAGTATCGAGCTAAAAATTATCGTTAAACATATATAGAAGAGCAGGAAGAGCAGTAAAAACGGAGGAAGCTCTCTGAAACATTGCTCTGGCCTGCACTTGCTGGAAATTAATAGTGCGTGTTATTGGAGAGTGTAGTTACGACGTCGCACCTGCTTTGTCTAACAGTAATGATACAACAATGCACAGCAACCAAATAATCAGGGCTTAATGTTAATAAATTTGCATTTCGAATTGTGTGTGTGCAAGAGAAAATAAACAACAGTTTATAATCTCTTGGTGTGTGGTGTTTCATTTTTTTGTTTATTGTACCAGTGGGTTTTGGTAATAAAGCTTGGTTTTGCTTAGCCTTCGCTTCAGAAAAGTTTCATTTTCTCGATCCATCTCCACGTATTACATTCGTAGTAATGTAAAAACAGCAATAAAACGATTTGTTACCATTCTGATTGTCACATGTATTATTTCTTTCTTCATCTCCCAAGTACTGCCACTGTAAACAAAAGGCCATTCTCGTTGAATCTCCGGAAGTATCCCAGAGTAAATTTTAGCTATGCATGCCGGGATACCTGTAAAGTCTGCCATCGACCGGATCACCTGTATGTGTTTTCTTCGACAGTACCTACTGTACTGTTATACCGTTTTTCTTTGGGGTTTAAGTCGAAAAGGACAGCAAAATCGACTCACAACTAATCCTAAGCATTGAAAGGCTGCTTTCTGAAGAACCTAAAATGGCTCAATACGTTCGAGTCACAGAGGACGATTCGCTACCAGCAATCGAAGTGCCAACTGAAGCAGACGGAACGATTTTACTGTCGACTCTTCAAGCGCAGTTTCCCGGTGCTTGTGGATTGAGGTACAAGAACCCAGAGACTGACAGCTGGAGAGGAATTCGTTTGTTAGAAAACATGCTTTGCCCACCAGCTGTAGAGGGATGGGGAGGGCATTTGTACGTTGTGGTGCAGAAAAATGGTGAGTCTTGCTTACTTAGTACTTGTTTGTTATTAAATGGCGATCGGCTAGCCACAAAATGATAAAAGGTCGAAATGAAGACTTAACAGCCATTTGGATAGTTTATGAAAGGTCCCAGGCAAGAGCTACATACTTCAAAAACCTCCTGGATGATGAAGCAACAACAACAACAAATACAAATCATTCATCGAAATGGGCACTTTACTCATCTTTTGGAAATTCAAATGATATTCTGCCATAGATGCAGTGATTTCTCTGAACTTAATTACCATCTATGACAGTATCATGAAATAAGTATTACTTTCTTCTTTTTGTACTTTTAATTACATTTTACACAGTATCTGTTCTACAGTTCTAGCATTGTAGACCATTATTGCTGATAAACTAGGTTTTAGCTTGGCTACAAGTAAAACCATAGCCTACAGTTAGCCACTTTAGATCCGTTTACATGTCTTGAGTGTTTCATTGGCTTGTCATTCAAGAGCATGAAGCCACCAAAAATTTATGTATACCTTGTTCTGACAAGCCTTGAAGTAGGTGTTCTACTCTTATCTCCCCTATAGGGCTCACACCAGTTTTCTGATTTTTAACACCACTTTCTATTCTCTCCACTCTAATTGCATCAAGCCTTTCCATGGTGTTGATTTAACTACACATTGATGATCCTTTTCCTCTGATTCGTTTGCTTTTCCTGTCAAGTTTCAGCTAAAAAGTGTATATATTTGACAGATACATTTAGAAGATTGATTTTGATTTCCTTGGCAATTATTTTGCTTTTCTCATCGTAAGTTTGCAAATTATATTCAATCTTTCAGACAGCACTAGTAAAAGAAAAATCGAAGAATCTCCTAACACCAAAGCAGAACCAGAAACAAAAATGACAAAGATTTCTTCTCCAGAGGATGGATTAGGAGACCTCATTGTGCTTGGACTTCCTTGGAAAACTACAGCAGAAGACATGAAGGAATATTTTCAAAAGTTTGGTGAAGTTGTTATGGCAGAGGTTATTATATTTAAAGCTTGATTTAGAATAATTATCTCTCGAAGGTTGAACCATGAAACATACACCTTATTAATTGGTGGTTTAACACACTATATGTTGGGATATTTTGTATTATGTGTTAACTTTAACCATTGAATAAGGTACTTACATCTGCCATATATTTTATATTATTGTCAGGTGAAAATGGATTATGGAAGTAGTAAATCCAGAGGATTTGGGTTTGTGAACTTTAAGGACCCTGAAGTGGCAAAAACAGTTTTATCCCAGGTTCACCGCATTCAAGGTCGCCTTTGTGAAGTGAGATTGCCACGTTGTAAAGTAAGTGACAGGAACAGTGGTAGTAAATAATGTATTTACTGAGCACCAGTATCTTGAACAATCCAAGAATGGTTTTTAAATGGAAGTTGATTGGGAGATGCCCAGTTTTAAGTCAGTTGTAATCTCAGTCAGGAGGTCTGATTTAAGCATTGGCTGAGTCATTGTGTTTTGTTCTGGGGTAAAATACTTCACTCTCACACTCTCTTGCTATGCTAGAGTGTGTCAGTGCTTAGCAGACTTTCTGGGGAACGTAATATTTTGCAATGGTGGTGGTGAGGGGTGGTAAGAGGGAAGGGGGGGGGGACGCTTACCTTGGGCTAGAGCTAGCAGGGTAAGGAGAAAGAGTAGCAGCACTCCTTCGTCTTGTTGCCTTGTGCCATAGAAACTGGGACAGACTCTGTTCACCATGCTTAAAATACTTAACCTAAGTATATAAAGTTTGCTTAAAGTGTAGAATGGTTTCTTTTTCCTCTTCATTACAGCAAGAATTTATGCCAAAGAAGTTGTTTGTGGGACGTCTTCCTGATTCAACAAATGAAGGAGATCTTTTGGATTATTTTAGTAAGTTTGGTGAGGTGATTGATGTCTACATTCCAAAACCAATGCGTGGAATTTCATTTGTTACATTTGCTTCAGGAGAAGTTGCCAAAAAAGTTCAGTCTCAGAATCACCGCTTGGGATCAAATCTGCTTAATGTGAACTTTGCAGAGCCTAAAGCAGCCAAAAATGCCCACATGCCCTCCCCAGCAGACATACAGTCTATGTCTCAAAACTCTGTGCCTGGGTGGGGTGGTATGGGATTTCCAGAAATGTATGGAATGGGCTCTTGGAGCAATGCTGGACGTCAGAATTTGTCATACAATGCATCAGCAGCTTACAACAGTATGATGCAGAGCATGATGAACATGGGCAACCCGTCAGGTGCTAGTAACATGATGGCCAACAGACATGGACGACGATAAATATCCAGGGTAGGATTTTGTCTCTGTTTTCTGGATTGTGGTACTGCATAGGCTTTTTAAAGCAATCCTATGGTTGTAAAAATTATTGTTATAGAACTAGCAGCAGATGGCTTGTTATTCCACTATGATGTACCAATAGATATTTTGTCCGTAGAGAGTAAAGAAATGATATTGCATAGATAGACTCTGTTAGATTATTGTTGAACTAGTTTTTCCTAAGGGAACTAATGACTGTAGTAGCATGAGGAATACTGCTCTTTCTGTTCATTTTCCTCAGCTACAAAAGAATTCAAGGTCTTCTTAAGTAAAAATGTATTGCTTGAGGCAGAATGTTGAGAATTCAAAGTGAATTTTTTACTTCAAGTGATGGAGTTTTATCAGGTGGAAGTAAAGTTAGAGTTGCACTTATGCAATTTCTCTTTCATGTTGTGCATAGACATGTGGTTTTTGTCATAATCTGAAATCAGTTAAAGTTAAAGTGCCCTTGTTCTCAGCACTGCAGCAGCTTTAGATTTAACTCAAAAAGAACAGTGAGACTGGAAAGAAGTTTGCTTTTGTTGGTCAAGGAGAAGAAATGTCAAATGAATGAGGAGTGAATTCTACTGTTTACATTAAAGAAGAAAAGTCTTTTTTAAATACTTTGGAATGGTGAGAGTGCTGGATGCGTAGTAGTCTGACTTGTATGAGTGTAATAAATTGCACTGTTTAAAAATGTTTTTACATAGTCTTTGTATTACCATTAAGTTAATGAGTTGTAACACAACCTGATCATGGTAGGGGTCCAAACAAGGAACTTTATTGTGTGAGCATATTGCATATTGTACTTGAATCATTCAGCATGATAAGATTGTCTTGAATGAATGACAAGAAAGAAAGAGAAATAAATAACATGGATGTGTGTGGTGAAAACATTGGGTTTAATGCATGGTCTGTGCTAAATGTAATATTCCTGGGAATTTAAGTGGCATGGATACTAGCATGGGAAATATTTGTTTATGGAATTTGAGACAGGGCACAAGAATGGCAGTTACTCTTATTGATATGATGGTGGTATGACATTGAGAAGTGGTGAAGGAATGGGTGACAGTACAATCAAAGGCATGAGAGTTTTTATTGTGGAGTGCGATTTTCTGAGTGTATGGAAAATATTGTTTTTGTCGATGGTGACATCTGTCTCAACAGTAAGAGGTTGCTGTCATGAAGTGACTTTCTTTTGTGCTATTAAAACAATGGCAGTCCTTTTCAAGACTTCCCTTGCCCAGATGTTCACATCTCATGATCGAGTTTAATTGTGGGTTAACTGACCACTCATGATGGACTTCCACCACTTGAGTCTTATAGCCAGTGACATCACAGCAAAACTAGAACAGCAACAAAAAGAACTTGATTTGGAAGACTGACCAATCAGTTTACATAAACCCAATTTAATACACTGGACTGACAACAGCTCTTCACTCAACACTGATGATAACTTCCGCTCAGGTTGTCAAAACCTCAGTCACTGCAACTGACGACAGTTCTTCTCAGGAATACCCCCACTGGACATTCAGACTTCACTATCATATTTTCATTATTGTAAGAAATGTGCAAAGCATTGCTCTTTGGTTTACTTGAGAAAGAACAATTACATTAAAGCAAAAGTAGAGGGAGATTGAGAGGTCATGTGTGATTCTGTGTTTGATAATGCTCTGTTACATGTTCATCATGATATGAGAGCTTAGAGTGCAATGTAACTCAAGAAGAAGGGAATGCTATAACTTTCCGCAATAAATATGCAGACTCATATGGAGGAGAGGCATATGAAGAGGGATCTTGTGAGTTTCAAAGGGTTGCAGAGAGTATGCTGAATGGTATGACATGTCCTGAATGGCTGCAGTGAGGCATAAGATTGTTAAGGTGGTGAGGGAATATGAGTGAGAACACTGTAAGTACATCTGTGTGTGTTGGTCAAAAATGTGTGAGTAAAAAATGTGTGTTTTTATAAGTGTCAAACTTAACTGTGGAAGTTATCTTTGCACTCACTACACAAAGTAGGCAATGACTTATGTAATAACCCAAATTGATATAACAAAGAGGACACATATTCATATTTAAACACTGAAAAATTGTCCTGAATTACCATGCCTCGACACTTTTTTGGCAAGTTTTCTGGCATTTGTGTGGCTGTTTTATTGTGCTTAACAATTCACTATGCTCAGTGTGACAGTTTGCTTAGACCTGAGCTGGTTAAAATCGCTCTTGTTTGTCTCATCAACAGGCATGCCAGTGGACTCCAGCAAGTGCTGAAGAAGTTTTCAGAGTCAAGCTGTTCTCTGACACAAGATCTGGTGAGGCCTGTTATAATGTTTGCCAACCATGACACACTTGGTTTATATGAAAATTCCTTTGGAAGGAATACATTGGGAATTTCTTGTTTACACATGAAGCATGAAATTATAGGAATCTTTGAGTGAATATACTAAGTTACTATGCTAGCACAGCACTAGAAGCTAAAAATGTTTTGGTCACCAAGATGAATGGGAAAAAAATGTATTGCCACTGAATTTGCAGTAAAAGTCCACCTTTTAGTGACACTTGTATGGCAGTCATGTGACCAAAGCTTTTTTGGTTTTACTACAAATTGTTTATGGTTTTACGGGAAACTGGGATAAACATTTGTATGCAATACTATGAATGATCCAGCAGTTTCTTAACCATAAAGAGCTTTTTCTCCTTGGTTTCTGAATTATTAAACCCTGAGATGTCTTTGGAACCACAGGAAAGGATTATCAGTCAGATTAATTTTGTTATTTCAAAGACAGGCAGTATGATCAGCATTGTAGTAGGTCATGTAACTTTGGGCAAAGCATTCTTATCTTATCTGTTTGGTAGAATTGTATTACTGACAATGATTTTTGGCAAAATTTGGACAAACAGCTGCTGTTATCATCGAGCAACCTCAATTCAAGCTCAAGTGGTGAAAGTATTTTCCAACATGAACATCTACAATTTCTTTTCCTTTTCATAAGGAAACTTTTACATGTTGTACGTTCACAGAGTGAACTGTGTTATTCATTCCTCTTTTCTCAATTCCTTCCTTTTTTTTCATTCCAGGCTTCAGCAAAAGAAAAAAAACACAAGGAGATGCCAGTCACCAAACAAGAAGCTCATCTGCAGCCATCTCTTGGATGGGTCTTGGTGAAAGAGATCAAGTTTTTCCTTGGTTTACATTGTTCCCATTGTTAACATTGAAACCAGAGGGTTTAAACATCTGCCTGGTTTTACTTGTATACTGTCGCAGCCAAGTGTCTTCTTGCAGAACGTAATAAATCCATACTGTTTAATTAACCCTATCGAGCCCTTGAGTGACCAGTAAGGAATTTCTCCTTACAATATTAATACATTGTCAAAGAGAGGGGTGATGAGAATAAAAAAAATGATCACCTTAAAAAGGGTATTGTTTTGCTCAACTATTCCTTACGCAAAAACTAACAGAAATACACATATATTGATATTGTGACCTAGTTTGGTAGTGTAAAGTTTAAGTTGACTTGATGCCCAAGGGCTCTTTTGCAAAATTCTGATTTGTCCTCTAAGAAGGGCTTTCCCAAAAGAAAAGGTGGGAAGATCATCCATGGGCAAAATTTTAGTTGCCTCATCACCCAATCTCTGCTATTCTGGAGCCCTAATTTAACATGTTCTTAGCCATATAAAAGCACAAGTCTTATTCACCTCCAAAAAGATAGAATCCCTTGTGAAAACACTGTTCTGATTCAGAAGGGTTTATCAGTTTGGGAAGGTACAACAAAGTATAACTTATGTTGTCCATTAATGTGAGGCTCAGAACTGCTGTGATCACAATTTTGGATTAGTTATTAGAGGCAGTTTAGCCTTCTCATTTTGCACTATGAATGGAAAAAAAAGGAGTTTTTGACTAATAGGTAATTTAGTGTTAACAACTGAGTTGAAAACATAAATTAGCCACCGTATGGAGTTTAAAGGCTGTTTCGAGCGACAGCCCTTCATCAATTGTTCTGATGAAGGGCTAACACTTAAAATGTCAGCCTCTAAACTCGTTACGGGGGCTAATTTACATTTTCAATTCAGTTGTTAACACTAAATTACCTGTTATACTCCCACCAATGCAGCACCACAGTTTCTTTAGAAACTTACTCTCTTTATTTTTGACTAACAGTTTGTTGATATTTGGTTGTCAAGAGTTGAAACATATTCGATGCATCAGATTGGTCAAGGAATATAATCATTTTAAAATCTTTTGCAGTCGGCTGCCAACAACTTGAACCCTTACTAACTGATTCCTTGTAATCAATCTTAGGGATGCTTTTTGCCAATGAGTGTAATCTTTTTAAACCTTGCTTCTCATAACTTGGATTCCCAAGTACTCAAACTTCCTTCATTTCCCTTGGTTATCAGCATTTGGCTGCATAAATTGTTATGTTTCCACAAGATATGGCATAGTTATGCAACGACAAGAAAGTTGTAACAACAAAAGTTATTTTTAAGTGGTTTATTAAGTAAATCCTTACTTGTAGCAATCTTGTTTATAACAGCAGTAACCCCTGATGTATTTTGAAATTAACTGTTGATTATAAACAAGTACCTTACAAAAGTTCCTCACGATTTATTGAAGAAATTTTATCACCATTGTATCCTGTACTATTAAAACTAATTCCACTTTAAATAAATTAGCAAAAGTTCCTTCATGTTGCACAAGCACTTGTTGTTTTAAGAAAATAATCATAATAGTCTAACATGGAGCACAAATAAATGCAAACTAAATTCTGAAACAAGGACAAAAAAAACCTTTTTGTTAGCACAATTCTTTCCTTCCTCTTACTGTTTCATGACATTTGTGCCTGCCAAAAATTTCAAACAAGTGGTAACAGCAGAGAGCTTAAATGCAAGCAAAATTCAAATTACAGGTATTCCTGGTAAATACATTGAGAGATTTTTTGTACAACTGTGTCAAGTTTTATACTGATTCAGTGGGGAGAAGGAAAAAAAAAAGATTGCTTTCCTAAGCTGTGGCAGCCTTCTTTCCCTGGTATGTAGCTAACATTTTCTTTATCTCAGCAATGGCTTTTCCTGGATTCAATCCCTAGGAATGGAACATAAGATTAATTAAAATAACAACTCAAGAGAGTAAAATGCAGTACTGTTTAAATTTTGTCCTTGCTCTCAGGTCTGAGTTATTTAAAGAACAAGATTTGTGCAAACAGTCTGTTTTGAAGAAAATTACACACCCTGCATAGCACTTGTCTTTGTGTCCTTTTGCCATACCAGGCATGATGCAACAGGAAGTCGCTTGTTTATTTGCTTATTTGTTTGTTGTTTTTCTCCATTCCACCCCATGCCCCTACACAACTCCAGCTACAATAATGGTCTTGACACTCAATCTAACCAGTGCCCCAAGTCATTTTATTAAAGTTAACTCGTGTATGTTATACATATTAGGGCAAACACATCTGAAACCTGGAAGGATCTAACAACAACTGAGTAAATACAATTTGGGCAACTTAAAAGTCCATCACACAACACATGAGTTAATGAAAACTTGCTGATCAATACTAAAACTTCTTTCTGTTTTCGTCTGAAATTCAAATTGGGGTCCACTGTATCAATCCATGATTAAACAATATATTAGTTACCTTAGGACAAGTCTTGGTACAGTTCATGATGGTATGACACCTGTATACTTTGAATGGATCAGAGTCCAGTTTAGCCAAACGTTCTTCAGTGTAGTCGTCCTAGGATTATTTCAGATGTTAGAAGTTATGTATGGCTAAAGTATCAAAACATTATACAACTTGTCTCTCAAAACTCAAATCTTACAAATGCATCCAACTAAGTTTTTATGTATGCATGTACATGTGGGACACCCATGTCACTCATGATGCATGAATACAAGAGGCAGTTGGAAACATTTGACAAAAGAATTTCATTATGGTTAAACAATGCTAGGGAAATGCCTAAAATAGGTTCAAGAAATAATGGTTTCAAAATTATATGTTAGGGTCAACACTACAAAAAGGTTTCTTGTGCGCTAACAGCCAGGTTCATTACCAGGTAAACTAACTTGATATTAAACTAACCCGACTGTCAATCATCCAGCGGTAAGCCTGCATGAGGACTGCAGGTCCAAGGTACTTGTCACCATTCCACCAGTAACTGGGACAAGAAGTGCTGCAACATGCACACAGGATACACTCGTACAATCCATCCTAATGCGAACAAAGAAACATTCTAAGAGTTGGGTCTCTCGCACATAACATTTGTTTCCATGGTTGGCCTGTATAAAGATTCATGGCTGTATGATGAGAAAAGGTTACCACATGATACCACACATTAAGGTCACAATAATGAGAGAAACGACCACAGACTTAAGAGGCTCTTGATTGCTATACAAGTTCTTCTCAGCACTTTGGGAAATCAATGGAGAACAGTATAGAGAATATACATGCTGGTGTTAGGGTGTTAAAAGTAAAATCTTCATCTGATTGGGTAACAAACCAGTTTCTTCCTGTCCTCAATCGATTGCAAGTATTGTTCCTTTCCATATTCCACCTCAGTCTTCTTTTGGAGGTAAGGTTCAATTGAGCGATACTGCTCGTAGAAGTTGTTCATATCCTACAAGAGAAAAAAAAAACTTGATAACTACCTGTTTGGAGCTCATCTGCAGATGATCAAAGAAAATGCAAAAATTTAGGAATGCATATAATACTAAGTAAATGCAGACAGCACTAATTAAAAATACCTTGGATGAGTTCAAATCATTGAAAGAATTGTTTTAAACTTAAAACTTCAAACAAAAGGAGAAGAAACTTACTGGCACAAGATCTTTAACCACATACATGTGTGGCAGTGGATAGATCTTGGTTTTCTTTCCCTCGTCTGGGTTGATGCGACTGAGAGAATAAAATAATTACATAAAGTTAAGGGATTGATTTTGTTTCTATAATATTTATGTATAACAATAGTTTATGGCAAAACAGAGAATAATGCTGATTAACTAGTTTTAGAATCTTGCCAGCATTGCTAGAATTAAATATAATAATTCTGCATTTCCAAGATGACCATAGATGCTTGGGATACTATTTTCTCCTTTAACAGTTGCATCACTTGTTCAAGTTTACTACTTTATGAGAAGGCATGATCCCCACAAGAGAAAGAGCAGTTGCAATAGTAGCATGCTGCATCAATCTCACTAGTAAATATATGAGCTCTTACAATGCTAAACACCCTTAGAGACCAACTGAAGGTCTTTCAGTCCAAGTTCACCCTTAACACCCTAACATCAGTATGCATATTCTCCATACTGTTCTCTACACATTTCCTGAGGTGCTGACAAGGAGAATTTGGTTAGCAATGTTGAGCTTCGTTAGATGGTGATCATTTCATTTATTCTCATGACCTTAATGTTTGATCCTAGGGAGATATTGTAAGGAGAAATTAGATGCTTGTCACTCTTAGGAGTTAAAGGGTAATAAGCCCTGACATACAGTAAGTGGTTACTAAGTGAAAACATGGTTAGAACTAACCTTATACAAGCTAATGTGTTTGTTCCTCCAATGTTCATGGCACACGAGCCACAGATTCCTGCCATGGATTTGGAGGGAAATGTCAGTGAGATCAAACAACCTGATACACTGGTCTTAACATAACATAATTGTAAAATAAGTTGTAGTTTATCATCCTGGCAAGTACAAGTACCTTCTCTACATGATCTCCTGAATGTCAATGTTGGATCATCTTCATTTTTTATCTTTATCAATGCATCAAGGACCATTGGACCACATCTGAAAACAAGTTTTCCCAGATATGACAAAACTCAGTGAAAACTGATTGCTTTATTATAAACTTTTCTCGATTTGGTCAATGTTGTACTAACAGTAGTATTGCCTTCAATCTTAATATAGACCAGTTAAGGATGTACATTTATATCTACGGTAACTTACTACCACACAGAAGACAATTTTCATAACATGTTGAAAGAAAATGTTGAAGAAACATTGGGTCTATGAATTGTAACTTCTTTGGTTACATTCATTAAATCTGTAAACCAGAGTAGCATCAAACCATGTCTAATGTTGAAAGAAACGAATGTATAAACAATAATTTAATCCACTAAGTTTGTCAAAATGTAAGTCACAAACCAACAACACTTCTTCTCAGGACTTCACTCACCCAGACAACCAGACCATTTTCTCTCATAAGACATGTATTTTAAATGACATACCGGTTTAGATCAACTTGATATTCCTGCATCCTAGGTTTGTCACCAGGCTTGTCTGGATCCTAGAAATGAATGAGAAATGTGAAAAACCAGCTATTATTATTTACCCCACTAAAACATTCCTATGATTTTGGTCTAATTGGTACAATGTTGTGATCCTTTAAAAACAGTTTAATATTTATTCTGTTTGCAACCCACTGTGCAATTAAAAACAAATGACAACTGATTTACTGTCAGTAGCAAAACTACTTTGGATACTTACCCAACGATAAACAGAAAATGTTTTCATTCGAGGACTGTCACTAGCTGATGTAGCATCTCGCACCAGAATCTGCAGAATCAACACAGCACATTACACATTTGAATATAGGAGGTAAGTTTCTATAGAAACTATGGTGGTGCATCGGTGGGAGAGTATAACAGGGTGATTTAGTATTATTCACAGAGTTGATAATGTCAATTGGCCCCTGTAAAGAGTTTCAAAGCTGATGTTTCAATTGTTAGCCCTTTGTCAGAGCGAAGGTGAACAGCTACCACTTGAAACATCAGCTTTGAAACGCTTTACCGAGGCCAATTTACAGTTGTTAACACTAAACTACCCTACATTACACATTTACTTTTAATTAATTCAATGAATCTATCTGAAGATCACAATCAGTTAATGAGTGGTCCCAGAGCCATGTCTTTGGTATCCATAAGAGAGGTCATAGCATTTCAACCTTTTAATTCCTAGGAGTGATTAGCATGTAATTTCTCTTTACATTATCACTACTGAATCAAGCATTAATTAATGTTAGGAGAATACGGGAAATAAACAAAAACATTTAAAAAGTTCTTGAATGTTTAACAAATTCTCCTCATCAATAACATATGAAATGCATAAAGAACAGTATGGAGAATGTGCATAGTGATGTTAGGGTGCAAAGGGCTAATAACCATGCAGTCTGTTATTGTCAGAGGTACAAACTGGTTTCATTGTCTTTGGTTTTGTTGAAATGACTGTGTATTTCTTTTCTAAAAGTCTCATATCCATTATTATACTCTGAATTTAGAAATACTAGTAATAATCGTTTCGATTGTAAGATTTCAATTAAAAAAAGGAAATTCAGTCATATAGAAAGGTTAATTATTGCATCATCGACGCTTTACCAGTAATATTACTCCAGTGTGTAGTGCTATAGTTCTTATTGATGTAAGACAGTTAAGGTACATAATTATCTAGAGCCGCGAACAGCGATGTAGTTTTTTGTGAGGGAAAAATAGTTATTTTGGAGATTAATCTGGAGAAAAAGTTTAAACGCTCTTGATACATTTATGAAATATGGAGACAGAGAGAAACGAAACAAGCTTGAACTCTTACGAACGCCGGATGATCGAATTGAGTACCCTTCATCGTTGCCTATACGATAGACAAACTGTTAAAGGATCGAAATAATCTTACACACTATAAAATATGAAGGAAGTATGTCCTCGATCACATTTAGTGGTGATCAATGACGCAAAACTGTGTAAAACCTTTGACGTCCCTGGAGGTACGCTCGACACGGAAAATACTATGACAAAGTTTCTTGCTGTTACGACAAGATCAGCCACCTCATGATACAACCAGACCATCATTGTTTCGATTAAATGTCACATACCTTAGAAATAGCCACTGCTGGTCGTAACTGCAGGGCTTTGGTAGTTATGTTTCTTGCACAGACTACAGTTGCAGTCGCCATTTTGATTACATAAGTTAAATTGACTGTGCGTGGCTGCACGTCTTCACACGGGGGATTGGGACTGCATTGTACTCGGTGAGAGAGGGGTAGCTGAGGAGAGCAAAGTCGGACTAGATAGGGGAGGGTAGAGTGGATGATTCACTTTCCACGCAGTGACACCAGAATCGTAAAATTACGGAAATGTTAGTCATTCGATGTCTTGACGAACAGTTTTGATGAAATTGTTATTCCGCAAACTTCGCATCTATGTTCTAAGTTTTCATCTGACAAGTGGGTAATAACTCGAATGAAGTACGACCCGAAAAGGCCGTGCAGTTATTTCCGAAAAACCCTTTTGGTGCCAAACGAAATGGATTTGGACGTTCATTGTTGTCGTTGGAGATAGATTTTTATTATTAGCCTCTTAGCCAACAAAAGTTAGACTTAAGTAAGTAAGTTAGTAAGTAAGTGACCTTTATTTAAAACAGGGTGGCCCATTCAGCTACGAAGCTGTTGTCCAGAGGGGCCCGGTATACGCCTAAAATCAATTACAATGATCACTTGTAGGCTAAAAACTTGTGCTCTAAAAAACCTTTAAAAAAACTACAGATATGAATTGTTTAAGTTGATACCATGTTTTTATAGAAATCACGAGAACGTGAGGTTCTCGTGATTTCTGTACATGTGAAAATGTAAGTATGTTATGACGACGCAATGAGTGTGATTTCTTTCAGGTAATTAACGTCTGGAAAGAAAAAGCTTGCGGATGACGGAAAAAGCGAAAACACCGTACTTAGTCAATAATGCCCGAATTAAACCTTGCACATGCATGTTCTTAATTAAGATAGTATTTGTTTTACCCAAATTTGTGATTGAAACTCATCGGAAGTGTAAGAAAATTTTTTTCGGTTGACGAAAGCAGCAAAAATTCATTTTGACTTCCAGTGGACTTCCCCCTCCAGCCGGCAGCCGAGACCAAGGCGTGACCAGCGCAGTACAAATAAACCAGACAGGGTATATTGTAAGTACGGATTAGTGACTAAGTCCAGAGCTTTTCCTATCTTCGCCTCTCAATATATATACTGTATACTGTGCTAAAAAAAATTAACAGAGGCAATCGTTATTCAAAGATAACCTGTCAGGCTCGTGACATTTCAGGTTTGCGTAACTTTTTGAAAAACTGCTGACCGCATAACTCAGTCGATTTGGTTACTCGCCGAGTATTACTTGCGGGACGTTCTGTAGTGAAATTTTTGGCGGAAATGTTCAAAAAGCAAAAGAAGAAATCGAAACAAGAAACACAGACTGTTGATAACAAGCTACAAAACCAACGTTCATCAAACATCGGTACTGATTTGTCGTTTGATGTCATCGAAAATAGAAGTAATGGTGAAATAACAGATGCCGATCAACCAGATGGCTTTGATTCTCAGGGGTTTGTCGATTTGACTCCGGCAGAAAATCGACCTGTATTACTGGGACCCAAACAACTTTGTCAGGTATTTAACTGAATAGTTAATATCTTTTGCCAAACGACTTTTGCATTTATATTCCACCCGTTTTAGAGAAATTGTGTAACATGTTTGAAACAAGTTCCGCGCACACAAACAAAAAATTATTGAGCATAGCTTTGGCCAAAATCTATTTGTTTGAAACGAGCACATTTGAACAAAACATATTCCTAGAGATTTACTCTCAGTCTTACGTTCGCTCGCGAATTTTTAAAATCCTTTGGTTGAACTGGATGAACCGTAAAGTTCAGCGGAAACGTCAGAAGACTAGCTTTCGAAGTCACGTGCAGTTTTTGATGATATAGGTGAAGCTGTGAAAACAAAACGTTGAAAAACAAGAGACAAAACATGTCCGTAGCAAGAATCTTTATTAAGAAGGTAAACGACGTTTTTGCACAAGTCTGCAGACTGTCTTAAGAGGTACTAGAAATGTTATTGAATAAAGGACTTTTCCCAAGGTTTCATCGTGCGTAAAAGCAATATTGGCTTTTCCTTGATTGGCTATTATTTCAAAGGTGTTAATTTGCCACTTTCAGAACTTTCCTGATATCTTTTGTTATGTTGAAAAACTCTTAATTATTAGCCCTTCTGCAGACATCAAAGACGCTTTTTTTAAGAAGTTTGTTTTTGGTTTTTGAGTGTGTGTGTATGTGTGTGTTTTTTTTCTTCCAGCACGAATTATTTAGTAGTCTGCACTTTGCATAGTATGGAAGGTGCGCGCACAGCATCTTTTTCAAATGTTCATCTTGCACACCAGAACCGCTGCATTCACGTGCAGGATCTCACCAGGCTCTGCCATCTTTCACCTATTTATTCGTTGTTTAATAATCCATATTAGATATGTCTCTAAATTGTAGTGATGACTGTTTTCGGTCCTTTTAGACCTTAGCAACACAATAATATATTATTGCTGTTTTTCTCTCTTTATTCCATATTTTTGATTAATTCATTTATTTAGTATGTTGGAACATTTGCTGTGAGTCTGGGTACAGGAGGAGAGGGGACAAAAACACTAACAACACACAAGGAAAGAACAGGATTTGTAAAAAAGAAACTCAAAGAATATCGAGTAAGTTGTATATCATAGTTTAGGTTGTCAGGATTGAGGGATTATAGAACCATTTATGTCAAGAAATAACTTGATGTTCTTAATATGCCTTTTTTTTTATACAGCTTTTACTGAATGGACTTCTTTCATCAGCTCTGAGGCAGCATGACTAAAAACCCTTTTGTGATATAAGTTTGCTGTATTTGAATTTATGTATATATGTTCTGCTTTATCACAGACACAGACTACAGTATTTAGATTTTACCCCTTTGCATCCTAACATCAGTATGTTTGTTTTCCATACTATTCTTTATACATTTCTAAGGTGTTGATAAGGAGAATTTGTTTAACCCTTTAACTCCCAGAAGTGATTAACATAAAACTTCTCCCTACAATATCCATACATTCTTCAGCAAACAGGTAATGAGAATATTCAAATTTATCAGGTAGAAGCTGCTATCTTGATCTAGCGTCAAATTCTCATTAACTAATTTACAAGGAAATGTTTAGCAGCTATAGGGGAGAATTAACAATCAGATCTTGAGAGTTGAAGGGTTAACAATCGAGAACTTTAGGTTGTGATCATTTCCCTTTTTCTTGTGACCTTAATGTGCAATTTGGGGGTGATATACACAGAAGACTCTTGAAGTTTAAAGGATTAAGCCTTATTACCCATAAAAAAACTGTCTTACTAGACTGCCAGAGTCTGTAAGTCACAAACTTTCTCTGAGTGTTAAAAACTAAGAAACTGAGTGGACATAACACAGGTTTTCTGATCAAGGCATAATAAAGAATAATAATACAACCCACAATTGGAACATCTTAACAGATGGAATATAAAATATGTATGTACTTTTCAGCTGACTTATGATCCTGAATGTACTGATCTGCATTTAGCTATTCACCTCCTCTTGTGGAAAAATGAAAAAAGTAAATTTGTTTCAGTTGTATCAATTGTTCTGGCCTAAGTGTTTCATAAAGGGGTGAGTTTCTAAAGAAACTGTGGTGCTGTGTTTTTGGAGGGTAGAAAAAGATAATTTGGTTTTATCAACTGAGGTATTAATGTAAACTGGCCACCATAATGAGTTTCAATGCTAAGTATTTTATAGGCAAGTGAAAGCAAAATAGAGAGTTGGTCTCTCCCCTATGAATATAACAAGTTTTAGTTTACATTTTATAGCTTTAAAATCTGAAACATGGAGCTTGCAGTACATGATGTCAAATGTTTTTATCTTCAGAATGCCCAGAAAGGTGTAGGTGTGGCTATTCTCACCTCTACTGATGGAATCAAGGTCGTTTCTCCAGATGGCAAGGTAGTAGATTAACTTCTGGCTACTGTTCTTTTTATTTTAGGATCATGTTTTAAAAAGTGTCAAGGGATTTTGGAAAGATTTATTCTCATTTCCTTTTTCCTGATTTGAAAGGGGAGACTGTTTTACAATTTGATTGCTCATCCCAAAACTGAAAATCCATCCTATCAATTTGAACATATCTTTCCTACAGGCCATACCTGTTGGACTGACTTGTATACTTTTGATTTAACCCTCTATCTCCCAGATGAGTTAAACATATAACTTCTCTCAATAGTATCCATACATAATCCAGTAAATAAGTTATGAGAATATTCAAACTTATTGCACAGAAGTTGTTATCTTGATTTATCGTATTTACCAGTGTATAATACGCACTTTTTTCTATAAAAATAACCATCAAAATCGCGGTGCGTATTATACACGGTTTCTATTGTTTTTCAAGCACATCCTAATTTGCATCCGTTTAAATCACAATAAAGAAATTAACAAAAGCCTAGAAGTAATTGGTCTTTATTAGCTTGAGTTAAATAATCTACCGATGAAACATTTTCAATTTCGATCCACAAACACAACAAAAAAAGTAATGAAAGCCTTGTAGTAATTGGTCTTTATTGGCTTGAGTTAAATAATCTACCAATGAAACATTTTCAATTTCGATCCATAAATAAATTTACTAGAGTATTAATAAGAAACAGCTGACGAGATAAACATTACGATCATTCTGTATTACTTTAATCACAAACAATAAGAAATCTGAAATGGTAACAAAACTTACCACTGCAAAACATCAGTTGCAGGAAGAAATAACATTTTTTTTTGTTGTGAAAACTTTTTTTATGAAAAATTTGGTCAAAATTGGGGTGCATACTATACATGGGTGCGTATTATACACGGGTAAATACGGTAACACCAAATTCTTGTCACTAATTTGCAAGGAAAAGTGTAGCAGCAAGAGGGGAGAATTAGCAATCAGATCCTGGGAGTTAAAGGGTTAAAGCAATTTCCGTTCTTTCTTGTTTTCATTTTACTATGCCTTGATGGAACAAGAGAACTTGGGTCTTCCTCCCAACCAATCAATTTCAAAACTGAAACCAGGTGCAATTTGATCACTGCCATTTTCTTAGTATATATCAGGCAGTTTTTCTAGTATTTTCTTTGAATTCATATTGTCTCCTTGAAACATTGTCCTCTGTTATAACAGGCTATTGGAACAGTTATTACTTATGGGTATTGGTTATATAACAGCTAATTAAAAAAAGCATTGTCCTTGACTGTTCTCTTTACCTCTTCTAACATGCCAGCGTTGAGAGGCACAACAAGAGTGAATCATTGTCTCACCAAAGACCAAAAACAATCACTCTCCCCAGAGCTCAAACCTCAAACTTTCCATCCAAATTCCAGTGTTAACCATTTTACCTCTATGTTTTCCTTAGTTCTTATATATTATAGTATTTTATTTCAAGATGGTAATACTTTGACTTTGACTGGTTGTTTTTTTGTTTGTTAGCGTGTTAGAATGGCCCATCCATTACAAAGAATCTCATTTGCAACATGTGATCCAGAATTTAGACTCTTTGCTTACATGTCGCATGACCCCTCCCCAGTGGGAACAGCAATACACTGCCATGTTTTCATGACAAAGTACACAAGGCAGGTATGTGAGAATAACTTTTAAAAAGCATTTTCTTATAACAATGCAAAATTATTGTTTTATTTATTCTACACTTTCATCTTTCTGCACTTTTCTCAAATGGGCAGCAATGGTTGTAAGTTGTGCTCACAAGTGCAGCTGATGTACAAGCATTAAATTTGAAGACCTGTTCAAAGGGTCATGATTGTGGATGATAGTCAATAATATTTTAAACTTTCATTCACTATCATTCACTGTCACGTTTGCATTCAAACAGTTCATGATAGTTGATGATAGGTGACAAAATATGCCATGAGATTGCATAATTGCAAACAACCATGACATTTGAAATTTTGGTCATGTTGCAAGTTGAAGAATCACTAAAGCCTACCAGGAGATGATGAGAATGTGAACTATGCAGCATTCTGCAAAATGTTGACATCTATTTTAGTCATTTTATCATTTGCCATTTTGCTTTGAGCCTGTTTTTGGCTAAGCTGCTGACTGCATTTCTATCACTTAGTATCATTAGCTCATTCAAACAGCAAAAACTATCATAACTATCATGCCAAATTTGTCCAAACTGCACAATAATTGATGATAGTGGATGATGCATTATAAGTTGTGCTCAAACTCACAAAATAGTTGAAACTTTCATCAACCATCTTGACTGTTTGAAGGACACTTTACTTTCCAGCTTGTTCTTAGTCCTCCTGTTTTTTTTAATTCCCCTCTGATAGGTTCAGAGTCTCACAGCTTTGGTTGGTAAAGCATTTCAAGTAGCATTTTCTGAATCAAAGTTTCCACAAGGAACAGAAATTAAGCTGGAACCACTGAAGAATGGCCCAGATGGAAAATCACCTCAAGGAAGGAAGTGGGTCAGTACACCCTTGCTAGTAGGATTTTGCTATTAAGCTGCATAGATGATTTGAGTTGATAGTGGTTTCCCATGTCACAGAATGTGAGGGGACATCTTGATGTGAAAGGTTTTCAGCCCTTTCACTTCCAAGATCTCATTATAATTCTCCTTACTGTCTGCCATCCAATCATGATGTTAGTTTGGAGAATTTGATATTGGATCAACTAATAATCCCTTAGTTTATATTTTGTGTTGTTCTCATCACTTTTCTGCTTGGTGTGGTATTGATATTGTAAGGAGAAATTCCATGTTGGTCACTCATGCAGGTTAAAGGGTTTAGGTGGTGGACCATGACATAGTGTGTGTGGTTGATAGGGGAACTGACTGCATCTGTAAGGTGTTTATTGCAGTGGGTTTGACTTTGATTGTTACTGACATGGTACATGTGGGTCCTGGAGAACCTGGAAAGTCCTGGAATTTTATTTTGACATTTTCCAGGACTGGAATGTACTGATTCCATAGCCTTTTCATCTTTTAGGCCAAGCTTGAGGCCCAACAGGGACATGAGAATTCTCAGCATGCAATGCTTGCAAGGTTAAAAAAGGAGCAAGAAAAAGCAGCGAACAGAAGTAGTTCGCCTAATTCTTCTCCAAGGGAACAAGCCGCACCTAAGGAAGAAGCAAAAGCGATGGAGCAAGCCTCGCCAACACCGTCTAAACCATCACCAAGGATGGGAAGACGTAGGTCTTTTGGCAAAGCTCGTACCCCACCTGAAGTCCGCAGGTCGAATATTTCTCAAGGTAATGGAGTATTTGGGCAACACGATAGAAAGGCTGACCCCTCCGATGTAGTCACCGATGGAAGCCCTGTGGCGCAAAGGAAAATCGATGGAAGCCCTGTAGCACAAAGGAAAATCGGTGGAAGCCCTGTAGCACAAAGGAAAATTAGTGCTCCAGTTCAGGGAAACAAAATTTACACGCCACCATATGAAGAACGTGCTGCAGCTCCTGTGATTACCAGAGAACGTTCAAATACTCCGCCACCATCGCGGAGCGACGCAGTTTCATCAAAACAGAATGTTTCAATGTTGCCAGTTGCTAAGACTGCATCTGACCCGAATTTGTCAGCAGAAGACCATGAGCTGACAACAGGCAATCGACACGAATCCGTGTCTAAAAGTAACAGCCATGAAGATGAAAATTGGTACATGCCTGGGATACCAAGGTTAGCGTCAATATCGAACGAGTTGTAATAGTTATTTGGGCAACCAGGGTTATTAAAAATTCACTATGAAACTATCTTTGGTATTGGTTTGATATGAGGCCTATATGAGGCTTTCGCAAACAAATATTTCCGCGAACAAGCAGGCAGGAAACGTTTCTTGCTTGGCAGGGACATCTTGCCCTTTCTCAATTGGACGACATTTTCGCCTGATCTGATTGTTAATTCTCCCCTCTAGTTGCTACATTCGTTTTAAACTACGTACGAGAACTTGGTGTAAAATCAAGAAAAACAACTTCAACTTGATAAGTTTAAGTATTCCTGTTACCCATTTGCTGGATAATGTATGGATGTTATAGGGAGAGGTTACATCTTAATCGCATTTGGGAGTTAAAGGGTTAAGGAATGCAACTTATTTTTTAACGAAGTCCCTTTAAAAAAAAAGCAAAAGGGAGTCTTTCAGAGGGTGATAATGCAATAAGGCAGGCGGGACTTGACTAGCAATAACCTTTCTAATGAAACGAGAGTGATCAAGATAATTTCAGGTATGGTGAATGTCATTGTGTGTCCTCTTATAGGGAATTTGTGATAGAGATGTTACAGAATTCAGAGGAAGGCTCATTCTTTGTGCGCGACAGTCAAAGTAGACCAGGGTGTTTCGCTTTGACTATGCGTGTTCCAAAGGAGGCAAATCCTAGTGGTTTTGGAAACTTTCTGATAGTGAAAGTGAAAGATGGCGTCATGATACAGGTAAGGAGTGTTAGTTGTAGTTAAGGAAAATACAACGATAGTGTATGAGTTACTCGCTCGCATTTTCTGCCGTATGTCTCTGTTTCAGCTTCGTTCCCAAGGTGTATAAGGTCGTTTCTTTTTTCCTCCCTTGAAAAAGGAAGCGAGATTGTCTTGGTTGCTGTAGCTTGAAGCAAAATAAGAATGTAGAGTAAAGCACTGTTGGAGTTAAAACTGACAACGACCCGCCAGGGAATCGACCTTGGAAACCCTCTTCTAAAGGCATTCCATAACAGTCCCTTTCACTTCACTGTTTCCCAGATTTTAAAAAATTTTCCATCCAGTAGGTGAACTAATATTTGGTTCTCTTTTCAACAGGGTTTTGATAAAGTCTTACCGGACCTCACAGCTTTGGTTGAACACTACTCCCAACACGCTGATGGCCTCCCCTGTAGTCTATTGATTTCTGGTTCGAATGTGTTATGTGAAGATGAAGATTATATGAATATCGTCCCAGCAGACCCTGATTATCAGAGTTTATCAGATTTTACCGCAATGATGGCTGAATTGAGTTGAGAGCATTCCAAGTCTTATTTAAATGAGACATGTAGCGGTTTGAAGAATTCCGCTTAAATTTTTCAAGGTCGTAAGTAGCAATCGGGGTCAGTCTTTGCCAACCTTGAACTGGAACATCGACATTCCTTTTCAGAGTCTCCTTTTCTTTTCGACATTTGTCCTCCCTATAAAATGATTATCTCAATGTTTTATTTGTGATATAATTGGCAACAACTCAAATATTGTGACTTGACTACACAGTTGATCTGGTATTAACGGTCATTAACCCTTTACACCCTGACATCGGCATGCATATTCTCCTTACTGTTCTCTAGACATTTTCTAAGATGCCGACCAGGAGAATTTGTCTAACAGACAAGAGCTTCTTTAGTCGTTAGTCAGTTCCTTTATTCTCCCGACCTTGATGTTTGATTTAGGAGATATATGGTAGGGAGAAATTAGATGCCAATCACTCTTAGGGGTTAACGGGTCAATCTTCATTTGTCTTGTATCTCTTAGTACAGTCTACAGACTCGAGGCACCTAAATTATCTAATGAAATCGGCGATTCTACGCTTGAAAACAAAATTACTATATCTAGTATCCACAAAAACTACTCCAGGGAATATCGAGTTGTTAATGGGGTTTGGATAATACTGTGTTTCATAACGTTATTAATATATACAGGAATGGGACCAAGGTTAAGTTATTGTGTTAAAAATATGATGAATATTTGATTTGTAAGTGCTGTAACGTGACAAAGTGGAATATCTTATACTGGTGGAGAAAATTAATCCGCAATAGAGAGGCGGTCAACATTGACTGAAATCTTAATAATGTAATAATTTATTGATAATTTATAATTGTAATAAATGTAATTATAATAAAGTTCGGATATAACGCGCGCCGGGTGCGTTATCAAGAAGCGGGGAGAACACTCGACTACGTCTTATGTTTCTCCCTACACTGATTTCGTGCTCTAGCCGCTTCATGCGTGCTTTACAATAGAACAGAACACAGTTAAGGCTCTTAAATCTCTATTTGTTAATTATACATTGATACTGAATGAATTAAGTTATTAGTTCTCACATGAGAGTGATTATTGGAAATAAGTCACCTTATATGTTAAATTTCCATTTGAAGTCAAGCGTGCATGTTTGAGCGGCGGAGCCACGCGGAGAATGCCCCACGGCCGCCTTCATTTTTTAATTGAGCGTCCAACAGATAACCTGCATGCGACAAAAGCTTCTTAGGTCATGTAAATTATGGTGTAAAAATTTTAATTGATTTTACCCTTTTTTTTTTTTTCAAGTAAAATGCAAAAATCCATACTAATGAAAGATGGTAACAATTACGATATGCTTCCCAGTGAAATCCTGACCATTATAGGAAAAGAACTCGAATAAACAAGGGTGGTAAATGTAAAGATAAAGTTCAGAAAACGCTGAACTTCTTCCTGAAGCAAGCACAAAAAAATCCGTTAAAGATGTGGATGCGCGCACATGGAACCTAACGAACAGGATAAGCTTTTTGCAACCGGGTGAACCAGGCACAAAATAGAACGCGAACGTAAGGATTTCATCAGCTCAGTCATCAGGCTGGAAAGGAGCGGATCAGTCTTTCGATAACGTCACGGTTCAAAGTAAAACCCAGATGTAAACGATCTGAGAAATATAAGAAACAGTCTACGAGGTCAAAAAACTAAAGACATTGTCAGAAGCTTCACCAAATTGATTTATTGTATATCTCGGCGTAAAAAATAGCATGCAATTTCCCAGTACTGTTTACAATTTCAAAACTTTAGAGCAACCTACCTACCTACCTACCTACCTATTGTACCGAACCCACAATGATGAGTGCCAAGTTTTGTGATCTTATATTATAAATAAATTTCAAACGTGATAAGTGAAAATAGACCTGTTTTCAATCACCTACCCGCATTGAAACTAAATCAGATTCGATTGCCAATCAGGACCAAGAGCAAGGGTCACGTGACCAGTCCCACATAGAATAATTCTGATTTTTACTGGTTTGGTCGATGACAACCCGTTTATGGCCCAGTCACAAAACATTTACAGGTGTTAGATCATCCTCTACGTATCACATGAACAAAGCCAAACTAAGATATTCCTCAATACAACAATGCGTTTTTTTAGGGCACAAAAGAGTATAACTTACCAAGTTTCATTTTTAACGGCGGAAAATAGAGCTGCTCCAATCAGCCTTTACTTTACTTTACTACGTTACAATTTTATTCGTGTAAAATAACATATCAATTCTAATTTTATCCTTTAGCAAGTCATCTCTAAGAAAATTACATTTTTTAGGATCTGATGGCATTGTATGGTAAATGTAGTATCTTTCCCGCACCCTCTGCCAGGTATATTCGTACTATATACATTTGTCACCTGAGAACAGGTAACACATTAGAAATTCCTCTAAAGTATGAAAGAAAATGAGTATGAAGTATTTCGCAAGCTTTCTTTCATCTAATACCACATGTCAATATGTGTTATCTACCGTATACAAAACTGCTACACACAGTTGTTCGTTTTTGAGTCACAAAACCAAATCAAGCAAATTTATAGAAAAGTAAAAAAGAAATCAATTTATTGGCCAGGTATCAAGCGCAAATTATCAATAAGCGATTGATTTTGAAGTCCTATTTGATTGGTTGAGAAGAGCCCTTCGGGCACTTTGTAACCAATCACAGAGCTACAGTTATTCTGAATGATTCCGATACCAAACGTTTGCGATACCTTCGATAAAAGATCACGCCCCCTTTCTTGCGCAGAACGTGAACTGTTAGTGTAAATGTGTATAAGTGGTATTAAAGATATAATTTCAAGAATGACTCTACTGATTTCTATACATGAAGCTATCCAGTCTTGGAAGGCAGCCATTATACACATTCCTCTGATGACATTAGAAGAGGATTAATGTATTCAAAGCCTTCAAACTCCGACTGATCGATGGTCTCGAGCATTTTCCTGTGATGAAAAAGTATAATATGAACCAGTGTTTTCAGTACTCCAATTTACCTTACTCAAATCTTCGATAGCTATCACATAAAATATATATCCGCTTGGTTATCTTTGTCGTCAGAAAAGAGGAAAAAGAAAAAACTTTTAAAGGAATTATTCAGAATATAAATTTTCTTCCCATTTAATCTTAAGAGTTTCACAGCACATTCTCCGAAAAAAAAAAGTGATTTCAAATGTTTAAACAGATGAACACCCATTTCCTAGGTTAAGCGCCATCTTGGATTGCCTAAATATTTCATAAATGTCTTTCCCCTCATGCATGAGTTGCTTAATAGCGCAACTTGGCTAGATAACTCACCTGCCGACACTTGTACAAACAATGACCTAACACACTTTTAATTCATTACTGCCATATCGTTTATGTCAGTGTTTCCGTATGTAGAAATCATTACTGTGTACAAAGTTAAGTTAATTTGTTCAACTTACGGGTCATCTGGTGTGAGTTGAACAGGTTCATTAGTGAACTGAGGATCAAAGTTTTCCAGTCCATACTGATCTTCTATCATCGGCTTGAACGGGGGAGCCACTTGTCTTGCTTCCAACTGTTTGAATAAAACAAAAATAATAACAATAATAAGTGCAAATATTAATAATATTGGTAAGTTTGCTTTCGCCATCCGTGAAGCAATCTAAAAATTTGAACAATCTACGGGCCCGTTTCACGCAAGTTGCGGTAACTCTACGGTCCTGAAGCTATATTTTAAGATTTCATCTCATGAAGAGTCGTGTGGATCTAGGCCAAAATTCTAGTCCAGACCTTTTGCTAAATTTCATTGGACAGGTTTAATTTCAGAACTACTAAAATCTTGATCTTGAATGTACACAATGCAAACAAAGAAACTTCTTGGGACCGATAACTGGCGATAACTTTCTTCTGCAAATTTGCCCCAGATTGCTTACAGAATCTGGGTCAAAGTAGCAGTCTCAGGAGCGCTAAATCTCGCAATTATGAGCTTTTAGTTCTTAAAAAAGTGAACTTGAAGTGTTCTGTTTTTTAATCTCGAACCACAGAATTTCTGTCCACTGGAGCTCAACAAGTCTTTAGTTTGGGCCTTAATCTTCATTGGACAGCCTCCTGAAAATATACGAAATGCAAAAGAGGTAACAGGAAATTATGAGTTATGAAGGGTGTTCAAACCTGTTCCCAATCGACTGTCCGGAAGAACACATGTGATGTTATATCTGCAAATCCTGTCTGAGGATGGCAGCCTAGACGTTCTATGGGATTCTAACAAACAAGACGAAAAGACAATCTCATCAACCCCTTAACTGCTACGGCGTGCAACGATTAATATAAAAAGCACATCTGCCCGTTTGAGTTATACCTCGCCTACAGGAAATACAATTCCTTACGCCTGACCACAAATCATAACACCTAATCATACTACTTCTTCATTACACGCTGTTTCACAGTTTCGTTAATCAGAAATCTCTCTCCTTTCACAAACTTCCTACTCTTCATACGCCCGACGATTTCAAAAGGTTGTTGAAGGCTTCAACAACCTTTTGAAATCGTCGCCACGCTGGGTGATTGTGATGAGGAAATACTTTTCAGAAAAGTTGGCAAGCAAAGTCATTGCAAGATTCTCTAGTTTTTTCCTTCCCCTTCAAATTTGTAACGTTTTTTAAAATAACCTCACCTTGTTGAGAAATCCTTTGAGTATTGAAGCCGCTTTTACAGACAGGGATCGAGGAATTCTTATAGGTTTTTCTAGAATTACTGGAAACAGGAACGTAAAAACCAACATCAGCATCTGGCAGAAATTTGAGCGCTTCACGTTTAAGTATTGCAAAAAAAAAAAAAAAAATCCATCATAACGGCCAATCAGAAAGGGAATAATAGGAGCCAATGATAGCTCGAAGTAAGAACAAGCGCGGGAAACCACGAGTGACCAAGACGCGTTTGTCGATTCGTATCTGATTGGTTGAGAGGATGGCTTTCCTCGATCTTACCAATCCAATATGGCGGCTTTGGCACTTGATCAGACTATTAAGCACTCTCTCGCTAGAAAATACGCCTGCCATGAAGGCGTATTGGGTGTAGGTGTTGGAGAGTCTAATATTAAAACTGCAAGCTGAGTTGACCAGATGAGACAAAATCTATGCAGAAAATGGATTGAGCTGTGAGTAATGGTTGTTCGTAAAGCGTGATCGTCCTCTGTTGTCTGTAATATTAACTGACGTTTCATGAACCTAAATGACTCTCCATTTCAGGCCAATATTACAAGCAAATCTGCTTCGTTAGAACTGGTCATTGTGGTGTTATTAACTGCATGCAAGACTCAGGAGGCGTTCTTCAATTGTGATTGGTAAGTCCGCAAAAATGGGTCGTTTGTGTTTGGTGTAACAATTTAGTTAAATGATCAATGTTATAATTCTCTCAGTTGGACAAACATGTATTCTTGGAAAAAAAGGTGCTCAATAACATATAATGCACGAAACTGAAAGAAAATTTGTAATGGGAAGTTCAAGTGCTAAGAACACAGGTCTCGATTATTAAAAATAAATTGTTTACAAGCAAACCTTGAAAGAGGTAATCTTCCGTGTTTTGATCAGGATTCTCTGCACTTCCTACAACATCAAAAGGTGATCTTCCAGCTAACATTTCAAACATGAGTACTCCTAGAGCCCACCAGTCGACACTGAACCCTGAAAAAAGTTGAAAGAAAATAACCACTGTCACTCACTCTACTATGAGTTTACCCAATTCAATAGTAGAAGACATGCCAGCCTAAAGGTTACGAGGCAGGTCTACGTTACATCCCTGGGTGGCGTCCAATACCGCTGTAACACTGACAATAAATCGTAATGACCTTATGAACCTAACCACATACCATAATCTTCCCCTCGAAGAATTTCAGGCGCAATGTAGTTTGGTGTTCCGCAGAATGTGCTTGTTGTATCACCAGGACGAAGACCTTCCTAAGAAACGAAGATTACAAAACAATTATTTCATCCTTCAAGAAGAAAAGACGGAAGATTTGAAGGCTCTTTTAAAAGGGGGAGAACTTACTTTACACATTCCATAATCTGTTAGTTTCACATGGCCGTCAGAATCAAGTAAAACATTGTCTAGTTTGAGATCCCGGTAAATCACACCTAACAACAGAAACACACATCTGTTAATAAGGAACAGAAACAAAAAGAATTTCACTGCCTTTGTTGTGAGTGAAATCATCAAATTTTTGTAACATAAATGGGTCATACCTCTTTCGTGTAAGAAATTGAGTGCACATGAAATTTCAGCAGAATAAAACCTAAGGATAAATCATGAATTAATATAACTTATATTTCCTCTTACAACTCACTTTCTTTAGTAATCAAAGCATAAGTGTGACCCAAGTGTGGGTCAACCAAAATAGGTATTTAAGTTCAGTAGGAGATATGGTCCATGTTTCAACTGGGCTCTGGCTAAGGTGCAAAAAAAATGTGCAATACAGAGTGATATGGGAAATAGGCCTTGCATGAGTGAAAACACTTGTGATCTAATATTTATTTGTTTGTCTATCCACACGTCTCTTTGACTGTCTTAATGTGTCACTTAACTGATTGTTTAACTAACTGTCTGACTATGTCAGCCTTTCCAGATCTGGGACTCAATAGCAGACGAACTGACGGATACACAGACTTAATGACTGTAAGATTCACTCTTTATTTGAAAAAACTTTCTACATGACTGGCAGAGCCTGGTTTGCAGAATGACTGAGAGAGTGTTTACCTTGCATGGTCTTCAGGTAATCTCCTCTGTCTTTGCATGTGGTACATAAGATCACCACCACTCACAAACTCAATTACAAAAAACAACCTACAAGAAAATAAACAGTTGATTTAAATTTTTTTTCAAAAAAGTATCCATTTTTTTAGTAATCCTCTGTACTTCTACATAAATTCAACTAATTATCTCTTTACATGTACCTGCTAGCAGTTTGGAAACACGAATGAAGTCCAACCAGGAATGGATGATTTGATGCTTGTTCAAAAACATGTTTCTCTGTTTGAACCCAGTCAATATCCTTTGCAAAGAAACCAAAACACAATCCATGCATAACTGTTATCACAACTGAGTGCATCTAGAGTTTTGCATCATCATCTACACTACCTAAGCCATAAAACAAGAGAAAACTACAAACATGCACTTTTTGGATAAACACCAACCTCATCATCATTAACAAGCTCTTTCTTTACAACTTTCATTGCATATATTCTCTTATTTT